TTCTTTCACGACACTTTGAAAATGACCTAAAATTCATCGCTCAACACTAGAATACCCCCTTAAGAAGAACAATACATATTAAAAAATAATTAAATTTCATATACTTGAAAATTATATTAATATCTCATAAACTAAACAACAGTGGTCACAACCAAAAAAAAATAACAACAAAAGAAAATACTTTAGTTTTTCAAACATAGCCGTTTATCTCCTAATAGCGAAGTCGTAAGAATCAAGGTAATAGCTGGCTGCCCTCTACTTTCAAATATTTTTGTTAAAAAATTCCTAACATTGTGAACCTTTAAACCCGGGACCTTTAAGCTTCGCTCTATCCCATATCAATAAATATAATGAATAATGCAAATTACATAATTTGTCAAAAAGAATTCTAAAAGACGTGATTCGGTGTTATCATTGATCTACGCCAAACCGAGGCTATTTATTTCTATTACTTTCGAGGAATGCGTAAGCGAATTTCTTTAGCAAAAATCTGATTGCATCTGGATGCGTCTCGCATAGTTATCACGCCAAGGACAGCCGGTCAGAAGATGATAGAGTCCGGCAAGAAAAAAATATTAAATGCAAGAACCGGTATCCGGGCAATGCATTTTTTTCTCGAGAAGTTCAACGATCTGGAAATAAGATGAATCGCGTGGACAAAAATAAAAACGCTATCTTCTCAAAAAACGATCAAAATGAATTTTTTTCTTAAAATAGAATACGCTGATGACGTACGTAAGAGATTAAAATCGGGATCATCAGGATTGAGAATAAATATTTAAAGAAGAAAAGTAAATATGCAAATTTGATTAAATAAATATTGCGTTATTTTGTTATGCTTTAATACTATTTATGACTTTAAATGTGCAGGGTAATAATATTACCCAGACCTTGACGTCAACCAGAAATGAGGTGGTAGTATTGACCTTAACTGTCCTGCAAAAATTAGAAAAAAAGTAATGGTGCATGGCATTGTGTCTTAAGACAAATTGTTCAATTCAATTCTTTTAGAACTTTTAAATAATAGATTTTTGAGAATTTTAGATTTTTTGAAAAGAAATAACCTTTTCGAAAAATTTGAATTTTTTTATACTTTGAAATATTTAGGAAATTTTGAACTTTTTTTTCAAAGCGCATAAGCGCCGCGTCGTAGTCCAACAGAAAACCATTGATACGGTACCCATAGAAATGTAAACAAAACTTATTTTCATTATTAAAAACTCTATAAAATATCTGATAATTTGATGTGCATATGTCTAATGATCATTTTTGTCCGCCAAATGGCGTTTGTTTTAACTTTTTTTATTGGATCTCCAAAATCGCTAGACCCGCCTTACCAAAAATTTTACCAGTTCTTCATTTTGTCAATGCAAATGAAATGTTTTATAAATAATTCAAATCAGACGCTCCGTTCTCTCGAAAATTGAATCACCATTTTTTGGACTTCTTGCCCCGTATCTTCAGAACGGCTAGACATGACAAAAACTAATCAGCACGTTTCCTTATCAATATGAATCAAATGTTTTTCGAATCACTCAAATCGGTTGAGCCGTATTCTTGAAATCGTGAATGAAAAATTATATCCGCACATACATACTTACACACACATAAATTCACTTTTTCTAAGGTATTCCAAATGAATCATAAAGATATATAAAAATTGTCATTTTCGATTTTTTTTGCGATAACTATAACTTACCATACGTGAAGTTGAAAGTTATTTCATCATGTTTGGAAATTGAGCTTTTAAGTTCAACTTAAAGCTTTGATTGTAGGTTAAATTATGACGGATATTTCGGATATTGTGGTTAATTTTTACTAATTTTGTTTATTTAAAAACTTTGAATTCGCAACCGTTAATGACATTTCTAGGACTAAAAACAAAAACTATAACACAATTGTCCCAAGTTTTCGTTTTAGTTGAACTTACTTATTATTAGTCTAGCAAAAATTTTGTTATTTTTAAGTTTCTATTTTTTTATTCAAAATTATTCAATATTATAATCATAAAGAAATTTACTATTTTACAAACCTGATCAAGTTACACTTTAGAAAGACGCCTCTCAAAATCGACCGATTTTAAAGAATTTAAATTTATAGTTAAAAAAAAAGTTCTGATTTTCGAAAACTTACAATTGGACATGTTTGTTGTTCCTCATTACGATTCCAAAGTTTGAAGAAACAAAATTAGTAAAAGTTCAGTACTCTCTAAAAATAATGTTTATTTCTTCATTCAGCATCTAATTTACTTGAGAATTAATATATTTTAAAAATTTATATTTATTTTATTATTATTATTATTGTTACAATTTTATAATATACAAGCTAAAGATCATAGAGCTCGTTTCTCCAAAGATTTTAACTTTATAATTTATACAGTCTAATAATTATTAACCATAGCTACATAAATATTTTAATATTATTTTAATCATTATATATTAGAAATATAAGAGCGATATAAATAATTAACTTCCTGAAGGAGAAGTTTATGTTTCAAGCTATTCTGAATCGAATGAGACCAAATTTGGAAAAAGTATGTGTGTGTGTGTGTGTGAACAGATTTTTTGCCGTAAATCGACGTTTTCTCGAGAACGGCGGGACCGATTTCAAGAATTTAAAAGCCACTCGATGTATCTTGATGAGGACTATTGTTTGTTAAAAATAAAATTAGATGATTTTGTTGGTATAACGATAGTGGTCTTGAACATAGTAAACCATTAAAGCCCTACGGAAACTGGTTCAATTATAAAAATTATTAATTTTTGAAAATTTGCTTTTAGAAAATACTCAGAGTTAACGTGTTCGTTCGGTCGTTTGCAATGATGTGTAATAAATCCACTCGGATACTTATAATCACTCATAAATTAATTTATTTTTTATTGATTAAGTCGATTATTTACACATTTCGAGAAGTTCATGTAACTTGCCTTAAGGCAAAATACCAATACCAACTAGTTTTGATTAAAAGCTTGGTATACAAACTGAGCGTCTTGAAAAGCTACAAAATTATTTAAATAATAAAAATAAATGATGCAAAAACAAAAAATAACCATGAAATACGGCAATTTTTTTGCAACCATACATTTTCTGGAATTCGTGAACAATATATCAAACTGGAAACATCAATTATGAACTAAACTTGAACATCAAGAATTTGTACTTTACCACTTGAGCTTTATGCATTATAAAAATTACTCTATGTAATAAATGCCAGACATAGCATTTCAGTATTTAGTAATGTTATTATGTAGATTATGTATTGAAGAAAACTATGCTACAAACCAAGCCAGTAGTAAAACATCAAGTATGTTATGAAATGCTTCAAGTCAAGGCGTGCATGTATAAACATGTGTCTAAATAAATTTTAAATTATCTTTGGATAAATTAATGAGGTATTCTGCAATAATGATTAACTACAAACTTGCCATAAATGTAAACTATTTAGAACATATATGCATTAAAATTATTTGCCAAAGATCTATGTTATTTATTTATAGGATTACTAATTCTGAGAATTAATGAAAAATAATATTATGTTGGTACTAGACGGCGGTTGTTTTTATGATGTGAAGAATGAAATGAGTCATCGATCGGCAAGATAAATATCAAATTGTCCAATTTAGTTTCAGTTTTTTGTGCGAAATTCTCAATACCAAGATTACAAAACGAAGAATTGATAAAATTTTTGGCAAGCCAGGTCAAAAAATAATGTAAAAAAATCGATATTTGGCCGTCAAAAATGATCATTAGACATACGCACATGAAATTATCAGATATTTGACAAAACTTTAAAAAATGTGTACTAATTTTGCTATAATTTTGTTGGGTTCCGTACTAAGATTGTTAATTACTTATACGGTTCAAGCAAATTTCAAAATTTTTAGCATCTTTTTTTAAATTTTCTAAAATATACATAGTTTTATACTTCAAATATTAATTTTAAATTTACAAAACAGTTTGAAAATGTATATATTTCAAATGCGTTATTCTAATCGTAAGAAATATATCCTCAGATGAATTTATTCGGCACCTCTTGCAAATGTGAACTTTCCAAGTGTTTTGAGCGATAAGGCCGTCGCTGTATATTTTATGAACGATAAAGTATTTAGAGATTATAATTGTCTATTTGAAATTGTTTAAAACAATTGTTATTAATCGTTGATCAATAATTATTGATTACTGATTTTTCCCCCTCAAATATTTAATTCTGGTACGAAAAGTTCCAGCTATTTACCTTAAGGCACTATGCCAAACACCAATAGTTTTGACCTAATTTAAGTAAAATAATACGCAAATCCATCGTATTCTTAATGCATTACACATTTACTTTTACCGCAATAAGTATGTTACTGAAGTAAAAATCATTAGATTTGCTTTGTATACTCACATTTCTAATTGAGCGTAACATTTTAACGAAGGTCATTTACCTTTAATTTAAAATAACAAATTAAATGCATTCATATAATTATAATACAGTAGTTCTCACGTCAACATGAATAGAATTATCCGCACTTCACAATGGCTATTAAAGTTTATTTAAGGTTGTTTTGAATAATACTTAATTGTCAGTAACAAATTAATTACTACGCCTTGTTAAGAATTATTGACTTTATGTATAATTATAGTTTTATAAAAATGAGTACACCATCATTTTAGTAAGAGAGACAACGGTCATTAACAAAAACCTCCTCATCCTCAAAGAAGATGATCATCATGTATTTGGAGGTTGATAATTATATTGTAGTTGATTATAATCGATTTACATTTTACAGAAATATGAAGGATTTCTAATATTTTCAATGTAATAATATAAGAAAAAAAAAATTCAATCCTTTTTCAAACATGAAGCTTCAATCATGATGGCAATGTATATTTCAAGAACAATCAAGAAATATAACAAATATATCTAATATATTTAATAGTAACGCAAGAAATCAAAAATTAAAATTTTGTATCCACGATTCTTCATCAAATCCATTACAACATGCTTTGTTTTTCAGTTATGGATAATTTGGGATCGATCCCAGAAAAATGGTTGCAAATTTTACCTCCATTCGATCCTGCAGCAAGTCCAACAGTATCAGCAAAATGCCGCTCTCAGAGTAAGAAATACTTGGCAGCATTGCAAAATTTTGAGTTTTGGGCACTGAAAAGTAAGTTAATTATTATATAAGTTTATTAATCAACTTTACTTAAATATTGTTGATGACATATTATGACCAAACAATGTTTGAAAATTGTATGGTTTCAAATAATATAATTAAAAGAAATAATTTATATAAAAATTTATCTTTGATTAAATTTCAAACTTGATTTTCTATACATTGCGGATTTAATTAATTATAGTAAGTTGATCTAAACAATGATTATTATAATATTTGCTATATTATTATAATTATTGTTTAATTATTAATTTATAAAGTAATTAGATACAATAAAACAATAATTAAGATTATCTTTCACTAACCATCAAAGTATGAAATTTTCTTTAAATTTAAAATGACTGTCTTAAATTGACTATAATAATGATAATAAGCTTCGAGAATATATGTTATCAAGTTGAAAGATTTTTTGGAGTAATACTAATTATAGGAGTACCCTACGATATAGTAATCCATATCAATAAATAATAATATTCCAGAGGTCAATAAAAAATATAAATTTTAATTAAAATTTTCTTCGTTTATTTAATTATTATCACTTCAAATAATGTCCAATATATCCTTTGGTCAATATATGCTAAGAGTTTACTCTGTAGGAAAATTGCAGCAAGATTGCATGGATGTTTTATAATAAATATCAGGAACATTAACAAATATTTACTAAATTCTCGTGGATGCGAATATTAATGTATTTTTATTTCAGTTTTTTATTTGTTTAACTATATAAACATTTCTTAACAACTTTTTGACAAGAAAATTTATCAGTATCATTTTTTCCAGTGCATGATGCTTCGGGAAAATTATCCTCTGGAATTCTTAATGGTAATATCAACCAATTCGGAGACTTTGATCAGTGCCTAAATATTGAGTCAGAAACGACGACTGGACAATATTTTAATATTAAAACAGCACATGAAGATGCTATACAAGGAAAATATTGTTTAGCATATTTAGAAATAAAATTGCCGCAAAATCTCTTGCCAGGAAATGAGAAACTTGCAAAATTGCACAAATTGGTACAGAGTCATTATGCTTTTCAAAGCCGTTTGGAGGACGTAAGTAAAAAAGTTTAGAAATTTCATACCAAAAATGGTATTTTACAGCGAAATGGTATTTTACAGCAAAAAAGTATAATAAAATTCAATCAAATTTATTATTTTTTATTGTTTACACCTCTGCCATGATAAAGGTTGAGTTGATCCTTTTTACCATCCACCCATGCTTTTATAGAAAATGATATTTAAAGAAATCTGTTGAATTTAACTTATTAAAATAAACAAAACATTTCAAAAAACAATTGAAAAACGAATATTTAAAAAATTAAATTAGGGTCTTGTAAACTAAAGACACTGTTGTTTAGTTTACAAGACCCTAATAGCAACTGAAAAAATAATAATATTTGTTATGAATTTTCAAACATTAACGCTTATCTATTTATGCTATCTGCCGATAGCAATGCCGTAAGAATCAAGATGATGGCTGATTATATATCTTTTGCCCTCTACTTTCAAATTTTGTTGTTAAAAAATTCTTAACTTTACTTGTTTTTGAGATATTGGTGGTGGACCGTTTTACTCGCACACCTTTAAGCCCCACTCTATCATATTATTAACAAATTATTTTAACTAATACTGGCACCAAAATTCATTATAGCAAAATAGTGCACGTATATTCATAAATAAGAGTCGCAATTAGCAGTTACATAATAAATATGAGAAATGTTTTAGACAATAATGTACTCAATCAAATATTTTTTTCGAATCGCATGATTTATTTTTGTTATATAATTAACGGATCAAAAATTGAATTATAATTAATTGAACTATTTTCAGATGAAAATATAATAAATAAATGACAATGAGTGAAAGTTATCTTTTATACTTCTAATTCCTGTATGTAAATAAAAGATATATGAAAATAATTTTTTCTTCGTAGTAAAAGTTCTCGTGGATGTGTTCTTTTTAGTTTTAATGACAGGAAAAAAACTCATTTGATGTTTAAAAAATCATACTTTTAAATTTTTGTGAATTATAAGGAGAAAAAATAAGGTTTAATTTTTCTTTTGATAGGTAAATATGATGCTTAAAATTCTTACGGCTAAATATAATGGTTATTAAATTAAGAGTTGTTGCAAAATAATGGCAAATTTATTGGGCATATAGTGCTTAAGTGTATTTTTTATAAATAAAATGCTTTGAGTTTCATCAATTTGGAAAGATTTGTTTTGATTTTCAAAAATATTTAACAAGTGGTGCTAAAAAGTTTTAAACATTTTTGAGTTCTTTGAAAAATTTAGATTTTTGAGAATATTGAAATTGAAAAAAAACAACTTTTTTTACATTCGAAATAATTTATTATCTTTATTTTGAAGTTTTTGAACTTTTTTAAAGCAATTGCGCTGCGTTAGCTGTGTAGAAACAAAATATCGAAACGCGTAAGCGCCGCGTCGCAGTCTTACTGATAAACATCGGAACTCATAGAATTGTAAACAAAATTTGTACTCTATAAAATGTCTGATAATTTATTGTGCATATGTCTAATGATCATCTTTGACCGCCAGGTAGCATGTTTTTTACTTTTTTGATGGGATCTCTGAAACCGATAGGCCTACTTTCCCAAAAATTTATTCAGTTCTTCATTTTGGTAATACTAAATATAACATTTTTTTTAAAGTATGCCATAATGTTCAGAAACCTTTGACACGTAAAGATATTTTTTTGTTTTATTGTCCTTAAGCCGGCCACAGACGTAACTGTATGCATGTGCAACTGAATGAATGCGCAACCAGGCGTATTTTCACAGCGCCCACAGACGGTTCAAGTTTATGTTCAAGTACTTGCGCAAGCATATCACAAATGTCAAATAATAAATGTCAAAACATAACCTAAAAATATATCTTTTTTATTAATTTATATATTTACAGCATCAGAAGAGAATTCAAAGTGTTCATAGGGCTAATTTCATAACTTTTAATTGTCGATAACTTCATAAACTTGTATTATAAATTCGCTACAATGTAAAATAAAAATATGGACATGTGCTGCCACACGCGGCCAACGAATGAACTTGCCGACTTGAACGATTGCGCAATTAAAATAATCAAAAAGTGCTCATGCCAACTCGCTTGCACCAGTCTGTCAAGTTGCGCAAAAAACACCCCACAGACGCTACAGAATACATGTTCAAGTCGCAGGTTGCGCAGTTATACAGTTACGTCTGTGGCCGGCTTTAGCAAACTATACACACAGTACATTTAGTTAATTTACAGATATATTTATTTGACAACGTAAAAAATGTAAAGATATGGAAAAATTTTCATTGTCGATTTTTTTTGCGATTACTATAACTTACCCTAAGGGAAGTTAAAAAATATAAATATGCCAATGGTATTAGGCATACGGTTAGAATTTGTAATACCTCATTATTTTTCGGAATTAATATAAATCTTTATTTATTTAACATAATTTATATGTCACAGCAAACAAACATCTAATTATTAATTAAAATATTTTAATATCACCGAGAACAAACAAAATATAAATAAAACTTTTACTTCAAATAACTTCCTTATCGTGATGTTATGAATTTGAACTTGACATTCGCGTACACATCGCATGCAGTGTAAATGTAATGTAATGGTAAACTTTCGCTTTCGAGTAAACAAGCACATGTGCTTCCATGCACGCGATATTAAATAATCGCTATTTCATTGTCACTACTAACATAAATACATAACTTTAACGTATGCGAAGTGAAAGCATTTCACAATAATCTCCATTAATTAACATATACTATATCGAGGTCAATGCGGATTAAATTAAATAGACTAGTGGGGCGCATGGCATCGTGCCTTAAGGCAAATTGCTGGAACTTCCCGTACCAGAAATTATAATTTTTACAAAAGATTAACATTTTTGAAATAAATTCACTCTGAAAAAAATAGATTTTTAAAAAACTATAAATTTTTGACAAAAAATTGCTTTTTTTGAAAAAAAAAGGCTTTTTGAAGAAAAATTTATTTTTAAATATTTTGGAAATTCTGAACTTTTTTTCAAAGCAATCGTACTGCTTTGACTGCATAGAGACAAAATATCGAAGCGCGTAAGCGCCGCGTCGCTGTCTAACGGATAAACATTGGTACAAAACTTATAGGAATGTAAACAAAATTAATATTTATTGTTAAAATCTCTATGGCTCATTTTTTTTTACTTTTTCCTCCATATCTCCGAAGTCGTTGCACCATCCTTTCCAAAAATTTAAACAGTTCTTCATTTAGTCAATACAAATAAAATGTTTTATGAATTATTCAAATCGCACTCTTAAAAACTGAGTTACCGTTTTTGGCACTTTTTGTCCCATATCTTCGGAACAGCTGGACCTGCCTTTGCCAAAAACTAATCAGCACGTCTCCTTATCAATACGACTCGAATGTTTTTTGAATTATTCAAATCGCTTCATCCGTGTTCCCGAAATCGTCGACGAAAGCTTGTATCCGAACACACACACATACACGCACACACATACAGACACACACACATACATCCATTTTTTCTACGGTATGCCAAAATGTTCAGAAGGTTTTGAAACGCAAAGATATATAAAAATTTTCATTTTCGATTTTTTTGCGATTACTATAACTTGCCCTACGGGAAGTTAACTAGATTTAAGTATCGATTCTTAATAATTGGGTACGGATTGGGCAGTAGTAAAATTCTCCTGATTTTTAATCTCCCGTAGGGTAAGTTATAGTAATCGCAAAAAAATCGAAAATGATAATTTTTCATATCTTTACGTTTCAAAGGTTTCTGAATATTTTGGGGTACCTTTCAGAAAAAATAAATGTATGTGTTTGTGTGTGGGTATATGTGTGTGTAATCTAATAAATCCACTCGGAATACTTTTAATCACTCATAAATTATTTTATTTTTTATTGATTAAGTCGATTATTTACACATATCGGGAAGTTCATGTAACTTGCTTCAAGGCAAAATACCAATACCAACTAGTTTACTATTATATTTCTTTTTACAAAAAGGATAAACAAGAATAAAAAATATTATTAGCAAATTATTATTGCTAAATGGACATGAATTTTACTTGTTTACAGTTCTAAATATAACGACAAACACCATCTTATTTTTCTTGTTGTATCGTGTATCATTGTATTATTTGCATATAAAATTTTTAATTTTTTATGTAGATTTTAATAATATGTATAATTTTTAACATACCGTAAAGTAAGTTACAGTACTAATCGCAAACAAAATTGAAAATGAAAATTTTTACATAGTTTTACCTTTTAAAGGTTTTTGAACATTTTGATATAATAAAAAAAATGATTGTTGTGTGTGCCTGTGTGTACGCATGTATGTATGTATGCTTGTATATGTATGTGAGGGTACAATTTTCCGCACGTTTTTGAGAACACGGATCAACCAACTTTTAACTAATTTAAAGAACAGTACCAATGCACAATTCATATAACATTCAAACAGCGACAATTTGAATCAAAGACAACTTTTTTTGCAATAACTAAGATATTGTAATATTTAATACAATCTTAAATCTTCGTTTTTAATAACTTTTCATAATATAAATTATTGTAATCGTTCAAAAATCGAAATTGATAATTTTTGCATATTTTCACGTTTCGAAGATTTCTGAACATTTTGGCATATCTTAAAAAAAAATGGGTGTGTGTATATGTATGTATGTATGGATACAATTTATCGTCCAAGTTTTCAAGAGCTCGGATCAATGAATTTGAATTATTCAAAGAGCATTCTACTTAAATTAAATGTTTCTGACAGTATGGATCAACCGACATTAATGGGTATCAAACACTTCATTCTATTTCAAAATTTCCAAAAAAAAACAGTTTTTAATTTTTACAATCATTAATTTACAATATTCAAATTCGAACGTTTTCAAAATTCTCAAAAAATGAATGTTCTAAAAAAAATTTAATCTGTTGTGAGCTTTTAAAAATTTTAACTTCCGATAAGGAATGTTCCGGCAATTTGCTTTAAGGCACAATGCCATGCACCAAGAGTTTATATTAATCAATCAGAAAATTTGTCTAGTGTAAAATCAAAGTAAATATTATAACCAAAAATTCATATATACTCTAAAATAAAAAGAAGACTTATGAATTTAATTTAGTATATTATGTACTAAACATACACATTATTTGAAGTTTCGTACTATTAGCATAATCTTATAACTTGTTTATAAAATAGCATTTTCTTGCTTCAACAAAATACATTTGGGGTACATAATAATTAAAAATATTTATGAATATATCTCGTAGCAAACAAGTATAAATCATTTAATCATTTGACACAGTTTTTTCTCTTACTTGATTATTAAATGAAAGTGAAATTATTTTCGAGGCCGAATCAGGTGTTTGTACCTTACTCCGGTTTCATTCAAGATCAAACAAAAAAAAATGTTAATGTGTCGAATTCGCATACACGTTATAAAAACTCTATAAAATATGCATAAAATAAGATATTCTTCATTTCTTTGCTAGATCCCAACGAGGTCGAAGAAATAGTAAAAGCGTTACGATTTTAAATAAATAATTGATGAATTTATTTATTTCTCTACTGATATGACCTGTTAAAACGAAAGTTATGGAAAGTTATATAATTAAATTAACTTTTATTTTTTAAATTCAGTCATATCTTTGATCCAAAAATTGCAAGCTTTCTTATAATTGGATATTATGAAATTGCGTGAAATAATTTGATATTTTTCAAATTTCCAATAAATATAAAAAAAATATTCCATATATTAAAATGTACGAATTAATTAAGTATTCCATGTATTCCATGAAACCTTCATAATTTCATGTCTTAAAATAGAACTTAAAATGTAACATAAGTCTTATATGATTCAAATAATTCAATCTTTTTAAAATTTCAATGAATTAAGAATAAAAATTAAAAGTTCGAAAACTAATAGAACCTTTGACCGTGCAATATTATTATGAAAAGAAATGGTATTATTTATATTATTTCAACAATATAATAATAATATATAATAACATATATAACAAAAATATATTCTTAAAAAAATTAAGTGAGATAATAACAATAAAATAATTCTCTGCAATATTAAGGATTTTTTCTATTATTATCTATTTTGAGTCTTGAATAGTTTTATATTTTTATTTACATTTGATTAATTTCACGTATCTAAAAATGATTTTAAAGCTGTTTAAAATATAAGTTAAAATATTAATAAAATAAACATTTATTAAAATTATTTATACTAAAAGTGTCATTAATTACATACTATTTTAGAAGATGATTTATCTACTAAAAGTGCCATTAATTACGTACTATGTTGGAAGATGGTTTTTCTTCAAAATCGCATTTTTAAAAGCACTTATAAGATAAGTAATAAGAAGTAAATTTCGAAAAGCATATCTTAAAAGTATTTTAATTTAGTAAACGCTGGAAAAGTCCATATTTTTTGAGTTTAACATATTTTAAAACTTCTTACAATATGTAAAAATATGAACATTATAATACAAGCTCTTCAAACAATTTGGCAGATTTCATCTCAGATCTATACGATATGGTATATTAATTATCTAGATACAACTAAGATAAAGATTATGAGAAATTCATTTAGAAAACAATGAACGATAAGATAATGATAATATAATGTGATAGTAAAACAATGAGTAAATAACAATTCATTGATCATTAGTTGCATAAATAAAACATAATGTAACTGACCTAGTGTTTTAAAATAATGAATACGAATATCCATAACATCCCAACAGAAAAAAATCAGCCCATTAGACCACATCAGTCAAATTGTTATTTGTTTCATGAAAAGTTTTATTAATATTTGCATTATATTTTGAATTTAATATACTTCACATTTTCAATTTAGTTGATTGAACAACTTGATTAAATATTAAAATAATCAAGAGTAGTATGTATTGTACAGGCAAATTAATAAAAGTTTTCACTTTTTATTTTAACAGTTTTTATATTGATGAGAAACCTTAACTACGGTGAATTTTTACACCAAAAATTTTGGATTCTTATTTTATTGACTAATTTTGAGAACATACATGTTAACATACGTGTAGTTAAAATGCCCAAAATGAATGTATGACATATACATATTGTAAGATTTTACAAATATTACAAATTTAATAATAGTTTTATTATTGTTAGTCCATATCGAATATAGATCGATACTTTGAAAATAATTAAGTTTATTCTTCATCATATTTAAGGTTTGTTAGCAATATAAAAATGTTAGAATGAAAAGTGAAAACTTCCATTAATTTGCCGTTACAACACTTATGTACTACTCTAGACTATGTTAATATTTAATCAAGTTTTTTTATAAACTAAATTAAAAATGTGTAGTCAGATGCATATTAAATTCAAAATATTATACAAATAGTAAAGATATAAGAAAAAATAAATAATAAGTTACTTAATATTAATGCTAAATGATGGTCTGTTAAAAACATTCAAATTTGTAAGACGGCATTTAGTAACAAGCCATTTAAAATTTTACAGTTTATAAAAATATTTGAGTAAATTAATATAATAAATAAATTTGTTAATAAACAGATTGGGTAATTAATAATAGCATTAATTATTTTCATTCAACAACAAAGTTTATTTTTTATAAAATCATCATAAAATTGTGATATTTTGTCATATTAGCTTTTATTTTGACCATATTTAAATTAAGTTTCAAAAATCTCTGAAAATTATGCTACACTCACTCGCAGGTAAAATTTTTGTTGAGATCTATCAGGCGCAACAGTTTAATTTTTTGTGTGCTGATAAATTAAAAAAACGATTTTTATGTTCATACTTGGAAATAGTTCCAATTCAAATTAATTTTTGAAACAACTTTTACAAGATTCGAGCGTTTATGCCATTTCAATCATATTCTTGTTGAAACATCCTTTTTCGATCAAAACTTTTAAAACCACACACACAGATCACTGATCAAAAACCGTTTTAATAAAAGAAATCTATAAAGCATAATTTATTTTTTAAGCCAAATTAGCAAGAACGCAAATTTAAACTTATTTTGTCATAACATTTACAAACATATCTCTGTGGCTTAAGTTCAGGAGAACTTATTTGAAATAAATAATTTCATAATTAAAACGAATTTAATAAACGGTATTGCAGCTTTATTTAGTTTTAAGTACAAACTTGAGGAGCTTTATGAAACTATAAGTTTTGTATTCAAAAACTATCAACAGTATCCAGTATCATAATTATATGCTAACATAATATATATTAATCTATGAGATTAATATATATTATGTGAGATCTATCAATAACTAACTTTTAGTCTGCAATCTGTTTCTTTTTCACAATAAGCAGTAACTGTTAGCAATAAATATTTCACAAATATCTATTTTATTTAACGCAGCCTAATTGATTTACTTATTTAATTGATTTAAAAATTAACTAATTCGAATTTCAGAACTGGAATAAGATAAACAATAAGTATATATTTTTTATCTTTAGCCAGGACACAGAGTCCCCAGATTTTCCCAAACAGGTTGGGCTTTATGTGTGCCAAATGCGTGTACATCAAATGACGTAGAAGCTTCATTAGCTACATCAATCCGACCATATGCTGAAAACACGGGTCTTAGAATTAGGGTGCGTGTTGACCCTGAAATGTGCCAAACCAGAAATATGATAGACAACGATCGCGAAAAGGGAGAATGGACTAGAGGAAACATACTAGCCTGGTAATCTTTTTTAAATATTTTATTTTCATACCATAAAGAAAAGTTTTGAAGAAAATAAATTAAATATTAAAAACAAAAAATCAAATGATGTGTAAGATCCAAATCATCAAAATTAAAAAAAAAATAGTAAGTTAATTTGTTCTTTCATGTTCCACATGAGTTTTATTCGCATAATATTGAATAATTAACAAAATCTAACAAAAGTTAATAATCTCCCTTTGCTAAGACCAACTTTATGATAAGTATAAGAAAATATAGGGTACCGATTTTCTATTTTGTTTGAATGAATTTTAAAATCAAAATATGTAATTAAATATTCTGTTCAACAAACAAAACGCTAATAAAATTTACATTTCAGGATATTTTTTGCATTCATAATATCAATTACATTCGTCTCCACCGTATACGACCTTATGACCGAAAATCCAAGTAAGTAACGTTTTATTTACTGATTATTATTTATAAATATTTAGATAATTATTAATAAATCCGATATCTCTGATCTTCGTCCTTAGATGAGTTGTTGGTATCATTTTCCTTATATAAAAATGGTCTCCAAGTGATTGCAACAAAGAAACCAAATGAATCTTCAGAAATTCATGCAGCTCATGGCATAAGATTTTTGAACGCCTTCATGCTTATTATATCGCATAAGTCTCTCGCCTTATTTTTTATTCCTTATGTAAATAGAACGGCTATGGTTGAGGTAAGTTAATAACAACATTTATTTTTTATTCAAAGGTTTCTCACGAATTAAGTTGTTTTTTAATAGAAAATTACACAAGTTACATCGATTATCATGCCGATTGTCGTACAATAGGCACAAGTTTATGCAACACCGCTTCAAAGAAATATATATATGTATATATATATATATATATATATATATATATATTAGGGTGGTCCTTAACATGGACATTTTCGAATTTCTTCGCTCCCAATGCTTCCAAATTAATAAAAAATGAATCTCTAAAAGTATTAGATCTTAATATAAACATTTAGATAGAACGCACGCCAATTAAAAGTTCCTTATATTTGTTATTAACATTTAAGTAAATTCTTGCGCCATATGTATAGTATTCGTCAACTCAAATATTTTGACACATAGGAATATTTATCAACCACTTAACCTATAAAGAAATCCTAAAAACCACCATATATATATATATATATATATATATATATATATATATATATATATATCTGTCCTAGATTAATTACTGAAGAGCAAATTTGAAAAGAACTAAAGCGTTCATTTTTTCAATTAAAATTATTATTTAAAACTTACTCTTGAAAATACTCCCTATTCCCAGAAACAAATTTCCGATGTATGTTTTAACAGAGAATAATATTGAAACAAATTGTTTGCAATAATTGTTTATAAGTAATTTCATGTACTTAAGTAGCTAGTATATATCGCCTAACTATATAATATTTTTATCATAGTATATTGGAAAACCCTGGACAGTTATTGGCAGAGCTGCCAGTTTGTACACAGATCCATTCCTGATGCTCAGTGGTCTTTTAACCACATACGCTTTACTAGGAAGACTGAGACGTGGGGACAAAGTCAGTATTTTAGGTGAATATGCTTCTAGATTACTCAGGTGAATATTTTACAAATAGTACAAATATTTCTAAGATAAGTTTAAATATTATTTCATAACATCTTGTGAAATGATATTTTTTTACAATCAATTACAAAAAATATCGATCTCAAATTCAAATACATTCACCAAAGAAAATTAAAAATTATTTACCAAATTATGAGAAATATCAAATCAAATTTGAATGCATTAACCAAAAAAAAATTGAAAAAATATTTTCATGGCAGAGAAACTTGGCGTAATATTCAAGCTTGCAAGCTATATGTATACATCACATATGCTAATTAAAATTATAATTACATATTAAATGTAATACATTCATAAAGTATAGTAATAGTAATAGTACAGAGTTTGAATCGTTTTGTGGTCAATATATATTATTTTTAATATTTTGATCAACTGTTAAATATAAAACACCAAAAATAATTATTTTGCATACTAACATGATACATAAGTAATCGACACCCAATCAGAAACATTTGTTGGACTGAAACATTAGTACCGCGAAATAAAAGTTCTTACTGACCTCTCACAATAAATATTGCAATATTTTTCATTTGTCAATAATTATGAATATGTTATACATATTGACTGGTAATAATTATTTGGTAATAAAATCAATGATTCCATTATTTTGTATATCGTTATAACTTACATGATTTTGCTTTCATAGTTTAATAATTATATTCTAGGATAGCACCAGGACTTGGAGCATTAATATTATTTTGCACGCATGTTTTACCATATTTGGGTTCGGGACCTCAATGGGGTCTTGTGGTCACACATCACGCAGATATATGTAAAAAGAACTGGTGGAGAAATATGTTGTTCATACACAATTATTTTGGATTTGAAAACATGGTGAGTATTCAAATGTTAATAATATGATATATTCAAGTTTAAGTGACCTTTAGTGTTTTTTGGCCTCGCTTACTCGAGCAGTTAGACACCTACAAAATTAGTTCTATACAATCATATTCTATATAATCTTCAGTTTCATACTATCTTCTTCATTTATATCCTATTCTTCTTATCGTATATACTTTTCAACTTATCTTCATTCTGTTCTTTCGTTCTTTCTTCTTTCCCCTTTTTCTTATTTTCTCTTTTTCTGATATCCTCCTTTTCTTATTTACTCTTTTTCTTCTTTCTTCTTTTCCTTCTTTCCGGTTTTTTCTTTTTCTTCTTTACTATCTATTCATTTCATCTTCTAAACCCTTCTTACATCTTATACCACTTTAATTCATTTTTAATTCTAGTTTTCCAATCTTTATACATGCTTCTGATTATTTATACATACAAATTTGTTATTACAATTCATAATCTTCTATATATATATAAAAATAAGTCGGGCTTTCCTTCCTGAAGAAATAACTCCACAACGCACGAACCGATTTCGATAATTTTGCATTCGTTGGAAAGGTCTCGGGCTCCGCAAGGTTTATAGCTAAGAAAATTAGTGGTGCGTGCCCTAATGCAAATTGCTAGAAACTTCACGCACCGTAATTAAAAATTTGAGCATTAAAAATAATCAATAATTGCAATTGTTTTAAATAATTGCAAATAGATTATCTTCTATATATATAAAAATAAGTCGGTTTTTTTTTTCTGATCAAATTTTTCCTTTTCAAATATAAAACAAACAAAAAATTTCTTCATCTTTCTCACGAAACCATCTGGTGGCGAAACGGAGTTTGCAAGTAATATTATAACTTCAAATTATCTGATTGATTTCATAACCACGCTCGTATCTCGAAACAAATTTTCTAATATAAATTCATGAAATTGCTATTAGTTCGTTCCAGCACTATGGTTTTTGTTCTAAGTTTTTTGAATATTAAAAATAAGTTAACCATTTATTAATTAACTTTCCGAAGCAGAAGTTTATGAATTCGAGAAAACATATATAATTAAATATAATTTACTGTCAAAGCAGTCAATTTGTCTCTATGATAGGAAAATCATTGTTACAACTGACGAACATTTTCATATATTCATATTGCTATTAACATTTTCTTAAAAAACTCCTACCCCATCAAAGCTCGTATCTTGATACATATTATGTACAGTTATGTATGTACAGGATTATAGATACATATTATGTACAGTAATTAAAATTATTTATTAAAAACATTATATTTTTAATTTGTCTTAGTGCCTCACTCATACGCACCATGTAGGCATTGACACGCAGCTATTTTTTGCAGGTAAATTTAATATTATCTATATTGAAAGTGTTATTGATAAAAAAACAAATTTTAAATCCGATGTCTTCGCATATTTTCAGCTGTTCCAATAATTTTTTATCTATACCGATGGCCCAAAGGCTTTACTACAATTTTACTAACCTTAGCAATTGTATCGACTATGGGAAGATATTATGTAACAGAAACAAGGAAACTTAGTAATTATATATATTTTGGAACTTCGTAAGTATTTAATACGTTTTGTAATTAATATCATTAATAGAAGTTTAAAGTATAAAGTGCTAAATACGAATAATCAAATAAATATTTTATCATTCAAACCATTTACGTTTCAATTATTATTAATTTTATGAGATGATTTTACAAAATATTTTTTGAAAATATTGTTCGATACATTTTAACATATAAAATTATATCAAGTTTGTAAAAATATATACATATGTAAAAACAATGCCAAAAAACTTATCACATTAAAACCATCTCTAAATTGCATTCACAAAATAACTATAGAACAATTCAAGTTAGAAAATGGGTTTGCATCGATTATTATCAATTGCAATTATTGCATATTGTTTGCATTGATACTTAAGTATATTCTTCGATCTTGTCTTGTAATAATAAATCAATAATTCTTATCATTTTTTAGAGTTTCGAGATTATTTCAAACAGCTAATAATATGTACACTCTACCAGCCCATCGAGCGACGGTGTACATAATAGGTGTCCTACTTGCTCTAGTATTGAAAATGGATAAACCCATCACTTTCACAAAGGTGAGAAATCAAAAATACTGGCTCATTTCTGCACAACTTTCTTCGCAAAAAATGTTTGAATAAAAAACTGAATTTAAAAATTAATTTATGATGTTTATGTTATTGTTTGTGAACTACAATGAGAACTAAAAGTTCTCTATGAAAATAATTCTCTATAAAAAATTCTCAATGAAAAGTTATCTATAAAGAGTTCTCTATGAAAGGTTTTCTATGAAAAGTTCTCTATGAACTTGACTTTGCAGAAGGCAATCATTGGTTAACTTATTTTTTCTAATAGTGATGATATATATGAACACATTGTAGCCATACAAGAAAGGTGTTTTGTAACACGTAAATATATTACGATATATATTTGGAAATAAAAATAAATATCACTACTACTTGATATCGGTTCGACATAAAAGTAGAAATTTTACAAAAGAGCCAAATAAAAAATACAATATCTTAATATTAACTTTAAACTAGATTTATCTTCGAATTATATCATTTGGCTTACAAAATACTAAATTGTTAACCTGATTATAATAATCATAATAATATTAACTTTCATAAAGAAAAGTTTGTTTTCGCAAAAAAATCCGTTTTTGCTCCGATGTTTTCTCGACGTTTCAAGTCATTCTGAATCAAATGAGGCCAAATTTGGTCTTAACCTAGTATTTTTTTTTGATAGAGCAATCCAGCGGTTAACCACTATTCTTTCATGTGTGGACTATCTAATTAGATATCTAATAGAGATGAGCTTATATTTATTGCAGTAATTTCTACGAAAGACTATTTTCACTTAAGATTATTTTTAAGAACTGTAACCATCCTGCTTGGGATTAAAACTGGAACTACTTTATGCTAAACTACGTTTTTAGCCTTTGCATCACGATGGGCTCATTAAAATAAGTAAACCAAAATTATTTTACAAAATTCGAGGAAAATTCAAATATGTGCAAACTATGAAATCTATTGTCGTACAAAGTTGCATCAAAATCGTCAAAAAAAAACTTTCAAAATTTAATTAGAAGAAATCTCCCAACCGTTCCCAACCATTATGTTTATGTATACGTCTTAACCAGAAACATCCGATAGAGGAAGTAGTTCTGATAATTGTTTAATAACTTGTTAAACTATTATCATACAAATCTATCAATATATTATTTTCATACAATTTATATAAAATATTGTACGTCCTTAATCTGAATAAAAATAAATATTTTTACTTTACAGCAACAATTGAAAATAGGTTGGACAGTGGCGACTTCGTTGCTTTTGATGTCATTCTTAGGGCCTTCGCCTATGGGTTCCCTAAGTTACAAATATGACCCTACGCACGCTGCTATTTACGCAGCCCTGGCGCCTGTGGCTTGGTGTGCCTTCTACGCATGGATAATACTAACTTCTCATCGGGGCTACCCAAGTAAAAATTATATTTTATTAAATATTTTTATTACTAAAAAACTAATACAGAAAAAAAAGATTTGACATTAATTTATCGAGTAATGAGAGAAATTAATCTAATTTAAAGTAAAGATTTATAAAATTAATTCTTAACATGAATTCTTCTCTCGATGGGTTCTCTAAAGCGATGTGTTTTGAATTATTGAATATCAAAATAGCGCCTCTTAGGGGGAGTACGGATGAAACGATTATTTTCATGATAATTATTTAATGATATTGTAATCATCTCGATTGTTTTTATTCATCTTTGGTTCATTAACTACCAGTAGTATAATCTTTTAATTAAGAATTAATTTATAATATAATAATATATTTGGTAAGGAAAAATGCAACTAATTACAAAATGCATTCTGTGCATATAGTATGGACAACATAACATTTAAGGAAAGGACATACTGAGATACTAATTTTCAAGAATAGTTTATAAATAAATTGTTTGGTCTTCTTTGGGGCATCAGCAAATAATGAATAAGTCGAAAAAGAACAAATCATTGAAAGTAACCAAACTTCGCCAGACTCAAAATGGAAAGGGAGGGTTTTGCAACAAATGCAAGTCTCTTCTCATTACCGGTCTATTTTTGAAATAGTTAGAGTAAAAAGCCAATCATCTTTAACAGATTTTATTTTCCTTTTTTCTTGACCACAAATAATCTACCCTGTAGTTCTTGCAAGATAGTACTAAGTCATTTTGTTCATTGTTAAGTATGTCATTTTGTCCGCAAGTGTACATAAATAAATAATTAATCTAAATTCTATCAAGCACCTGATAATTGCAATAAAACTGAAATCACTAGTACTGGCAAAAAAAGATTGATTTTAATAGAAATAATTACAAATAACGATAACGAAAAAACACAGCAAAACCACACACAATATTTGATTATTGTGCTTTGCTTTCTTTATGTTAAACAGTCGCAAAGCAGTCCTAAAACTAGCCAATTTTCAAATAAGCCACTGTGTCATTTTGTTCATTGCATAGGTTTGTCATTTTGTCCGTAAATGAACATAAATAAATAATTAATCAGAATTCCATCGAACACCTCATAATTGAAAGAAAATTGATCGAAATCACAAGTACTGGTATAGGATTATTGATTTTAAGAAAAATAATTACAAATGGCGCTAAATAAAGACTTGGATTTGAGAATTGATAGAAATCACAAGTACTGGTACAAAATTATTAATTTGAAGAACAATAATTACAAATTGCGCTGAATAAGGACCAAAAAACACGGCAAAACCACTATGTCATTTTGTTCATATACTATTTTGTCCGTATTTCACCTAATATTGATATTTTACTTTATTTTTAGCTGTCTCAATTAGTAAAGTTTTTTGAGATGTGCTATTTTGAATTTTTAAATCAAACAGCATCTATTAATAATGTTTCTGATAAGCGTTAGTAACTTGAGAATAAATTGATAATTTATATAAAATATTTAACCCTATAATATATTTTCTGTTATTTCTATTTTCAGGTGTAATAGCAAGGATAATGTCCTGGCGTGGTTTTCAAGTTGCCACTCGGCTATCATACTCAATTTACCTCACACAATTTCCAGTATTTTTCTATAACGTTGGGCAAACGCGGAACGCCCAATATTATGAATTCTTCAGCATGATGGTAAGAGCAATGAAATATTTAATTTACTAATTATTGTAAACAAATAATATTTAAATTAAACCAATCAACTAATTAAAGATTGCTTGCAAATAAAATTTAATTATACGAATAAAATTAAACAAATCAATAAATAAACATTTTAAAACTATTTTGAAATACTTGACGAGCCGGGACGGGGCTTTATAACTTAAATATGATTTAAAATAATAAATACTCTTTCAGGAAACAACAAAAAACAGTTTTTTTTTTGATAGATCATTTTTTATCAAAATTGCTGACTTAGTAATAAGATAGCCATATGTACCGGTTTCATCGGGACTGTCCCGAATTTCAACCTAATTGTCCCAGATTTAAGGCTTTTGCCCCAGATTGTCCCGCGTTTTCAAAAACTATAGGTTCAAATTGAATCTTATCAATTATTTGATAATAAAATTACAATTACCCAAAAAATATCTGAAAATGACATATACAACTAATATATTTATACCACACAAAACGTTGCCGAATTCAAAATTTCAAAGGCGTGTTAATATAGCCTAGATAATATATAGCATAATCAAATAATAAAGTTCTTATTATTATATATTCAATAAAAGTCAGTAATTTCAATTTAAAAAAAAGATTTATTTAAAAAAAACTGATTTTTATTGCGTCCTTAAATAGTATTTGTTACTTTATATCAGGGCTTCTTAAACTATGAGTCGCGACCCCCAAAAAAAAAATGTTGTGTTAAAAAATCATGGGGTCGCAAGAGATTTTGATCCCCATAATCTACATACATACATATAAAAATAAGTCGGATTTTCCTTCCTGACGATATAACTCCAGAACGCACGAACCGATTTCGATAATTTTGTATTCGTTGGAAAAGTCTCGGGCTCCGAAAGGTTTATAGCTAAGAAAATTAGTGGTATGGCATCGTGCCTTAATGCAAATGGCTGGAACTTCACGCACCGTAATTAAAAATTCGAGTAATGACATTAGTAAGAATTATCAGATTTATGCTTGGTTAAGTCAACGAGCAATTCTTGATGTACATGCACTAAATTTTACCATTCAATCGAAAAGTGCTGGCGATTTGGTGGCATACCAATGATTCCGCAATAACAAGTCGCAAGGCCAATCGCTTAGTGTTTGCGGGATAAATTTTAAATAGATTATTTAGAAAATCATTGTTTTTCACATGGGCAGTTATACGTTGCCTGTTCACGAGTTGGAAAGCCACCTGCTTTGCTTGTGTTAACGTTAGACCAAAAAAACAAGAAATGTGGTTTACCAAAGAGCACTTCAATGAAACGGATAATTTGCGGATTCACTTTCATTTACTTAGAGAAGTTCAACTAAAGAACACTTCATTTTTGTAGTCGAAATAAATTCATTACTGTTGTGTAATAAAATCAAATTTTTTTTCAAATATAAAACAAACAAAAAATTTCTTCATCTTTCTCACGAAACCATCTGGTGGCGAAACGGAGTTCGTCGGGTTTGCTAGTCTTGATATAAAATATATATATATATATATATATATATATATATATATATATATATACATATATATATATATATGTATATTATTATGTTATGAATCATCTGAAAATATTAAATTATTTTTCTTTCATATTTGTGTAAGGTCGTCAAAACACTCGCAATCACAAATGGGGTCGCGAATGAAAAAAGTTTAAGAAGCCCTGTGATTTAAATTTAAAATCATATTTAAGTTAGTTAGCATAAAGAACACATTTAATGTATTGATTATATTTTACGTTCTATTCCAATTAAAATACCGTTGAACAATAACGTATTAATCTGATTACAATCTAATGCCGCGCAAACCGTTTATTGAAAATAACACCTGCATCTAATAAATGTTAGATTAACACTTATGTTAGAATTGATTATGTTTGATAATTTCTAGTAATAATATGCTTTCTAATTTTCAGTTTAATCTACATGAATTGGGATGGATGGTTGTGTGCTCAGTACTGTTGACTTTGCTATTCGACATACCCTTCCAAAATATTAAGAAAGCCATATTTCCTAGGAATACATCTGCTAAAAAATCAACGACTGTCGAAGTAAAAAATCATGTAAAATCGGAATAAAATGACTGCCGTATTTAGAGTTTTTGTAAAATTCTTACCAAAACCAAAACGAATTCTGTAGCAAAATTTAAAGTGGAAAAAAAATTACAAAATCTCTTAATATTATTTTTAATAAGATTAGCTAAACACGGATATTATGTAACGAGAAATATGCTACAAATAGTGTTCATGAAACAATAGCTAGTTTTAGAATCTAGCCTATTATTGCTTTAAAGAAATGAATAGTTTACGATTATTTATTTGATTTACGTAATTTTCGCAATTCTTGTTAAATTATTACATTTATTTCGAAAATGAAAGTTGCAATAAAAGTTTCCGACAACTAAGTTGAGGTATTAAATTTTATTCTATTAAATTATTTAAGTTGTCGTTTAAATATTTTTCTAACATTTTCGAAGACCCTAAGGTCTTTTAACGTAAATTAGAAAAAAAATCCAAATATGGAAAAGAAATACCAATCGTATTGTTATGATCAAATACATGATAATAACAACACAATGCATTTACGCAAGCTATTATATCTTATAATTTCATATAAATAAAATGCGTTAAATTTTGTCAATTTTGTGAGAAATTGTAAAAATTACTTAAAGAAAAGACTTAATGTATTATATACAAAATTGCAAAATATCATCATCAATATTATCTGCAATTTTTGAAAGTCACTATTTTTGCGAATAAATTGTCTTTTAGCCTCGTCTATTGGCCAATAAATTGTATGATATAAAATACATATCAATTAGTATTATCTATAATCATAAAAAATATAATTAATTAAGAAAACGATATTAAATAGCTTTTGTTATTCTTTTCTAATTAAGTGCTTTATATTGTGCAGCTGGAAAATTGTTTTAATGCGTTATCAAAAACAAATATTAGATCCTTGCCCAGATACGAATTAGGCACATTATTTAAAATATATAAAAGACTTTTATAACATAATAGTTAATAGAATCATTTATTTGCTATTTATTTTGATCTTTTTATAAAATGAAATGTGATATTTTGAACATTTTATACTTTTAATTAGTATTACAACTAGTGTCATAATTAGAAATAAGCTATTATTGTAAATCATACATAAGTATAATTTATAAATATTTTTACAAAAATATAGATATTTTATTTAATTAACTTCCAGAAAGGGAAGTTTATTTTTGCTAGTTTTTCTGAATTGGCACAAAAATTGAAAAAAATATGCGTGAGCCAAAGTTTGATCTTTCGTCAAATTCTCAAATTCGATTGGACCGATTGCAAAAGGTCATTTGATAAAAATCATTATGAGCTCGGGGTGATTCTTTACAATAGGTAAGTAGGAAATTTTCCATCAACCTTTCCGTCAAAAATTGGGATTTTGAAATATATCAGTTAGGAATCAGGCTGATTAGTTGTTATAGATCAGTTGGTCATTTCTTGGTAATGAATTATTGAAAAAAATGTCGATTTTAATAAAACTTATCGTTAGTTATATTGTTTCATATATCATATTATTACATTGTCTAAAGTGTTCATGGTCTAAACCAGCATTTCCCAAAGTGGTCCATAACTATGGATCAGATATCTATGACAAAATTGTGTGGACCAGGAATTGAAAATAAAAAAACATCACAATATAAACTCTTTGAGAACCTGTAGTCTATACGAATATTCTAGAACATATAATCCTACAAAAATGGTTTGATTATATAATTATATAAATGTATTAAAACTTGTTATAATAGGCCGAGCCCATCCAAATAAAATAGTTGCACAACTGCTTAAGATACCACATTTCAGAAGACTCGAGCAAAAACCACCAATATCTTGATCTAGCAAATTGTTTAAGGGAACAATTTCTATATTTTCTAGTAAATCATCAAAATATGATAGTTAATTTAATGTAATTTTTTTGTAATATTAATATATTATTTATTAATATTATCTATTATTATTATTACGAATTACTATTTTTATGTTGATATCTTTATTTATTCTTATTTAGTTTATTCTTTTTTAAGTTTATATATTTTAGTATAGCAGATCATAGAATGTAATTACTGTTCTGATTGCTGTATAATAAATAAATAAATAAATAAAAATAAAATTAAAAAAAATCGGCCGAGCTCTTAGCACATCACATACACCGTTTAAGTTCCATTATGTACTCCATATCACTTGTTAATCTATGTTTCTTAATATTTGTTTATCTATGTATCATACTGATCACCGTTGATGTCCCTACTTAAATACAATATATTTTCAGAACATGATATAATATTGTTTAGGATTATATATGTTAAATGAATTAATTCAATTTATACAATTGCAGATATTGTAAGTTTGTTTGAAATATATCAATTCGAAATCGCATTGTTTTTATTGAAAAGCGAAAACTATTTCGAAATTCGAAACGTTTTAACGTTTATAAATCTAGATTTCTTATTGATTAAAACGACTTGTCGTAGTCCAAACAATCTTTCGAACAGTTTTGGATTTCGAATTGCGGCTAAAACGTGGACGATTTTTTTTTACTTTTCTGATATTTACAAAGAAACGCTAGTCCTCATCGAGTTACATCGAATGGCTTTAAAATTTTTGAAAATGGTCTAGCCGTTTTTGAGAAAAAGTCGATTTATGGCAAAAAATCTGTTCACATACACACACACATGCACACATACACACACACATGCACACATACACACACCACACACACATACTTTTTCCAAATTTGGTCTCATTTTCAATTTACAAACTCAATTTAGATAAAAAAAAATGTCCAAATCCGTTTAAGATCGAAAATGTGTAGTAAAACAAATGCCGTGTAAAACGAGAAATAGGTGTATTTAATTCTTGTCTTTTCGGGAATCATTAAGTTTATATTGTTTTTTTTTTAATACAAACATTTTCAAATCATTTATGCCTTTTTGCAACAAACTTCAATTGGTCAATGATAGTGCGGCAATATATCCGTCAGTGCCCTCGATTTTCATAAATTTAAATCCGGCCCTGTGTGTGCGTATATGTATAAATGTGTGAGCTAGCGTGAACTTAATCACAATAGCTCATAGAATCCTATTGATATTGATGAAGTACAAAAAATATATACAAAAGTGCAAAAGAAATCCATTTTAATACAAACATCGCACGCTCGTGTATTGCGTAACCTAAAAATTATCGCAAATATTTTTCTGAGCACAATAACAATTGATAAGAAATGTTTTCACTAACAATAAATGAATTCGGATAAGTCGTGATATATAAATAAAAATGAACGATACTAGTTTTTATGCGACATATTCTAGTTTACTTCATAGATAAAACAGGACGCAAAACTAAATTTTACTGTTGACGCGGAATTTGCATTTCCTATTAGATAAAAATAAAACACTAATGCTACTCTTTACGCTTACGCATATCTATTTAAAAATCTTTTTTCTGAATTAAATTTTAATTTTAATAAGTGTTTATTATTATCACACATATATTCCAGGAACCTTAATCGGTACTTGAAAACTTATTATAAATAGTTAAGAGGCGTGTAGAATTTTTTAAAGGTCTTATTGATGTAACAAAAATATTGTTCTAATTTTCTACAATTGCGCAAGCGTGTTAGTTTTATGACACGGTTTCTATAAGCTGGTGTTCCCTCAGTCATAGCAACATAATATAAATTTAAAATACAATATGAGTGAGAAAGCTGATCTTGGTGAAGGTAAGTTGATAATATTGTAATTATATTCAAAAATTGCTGGTAAAAATTATTACATAAAACTCACCTTGATCGATGAAGGTTTATATTCTGTATTTTTTGGCCTCTTTTATTAAAACCGTGCTAAAATCCATGTGTTCGTTGTTCCTGATTTAAACTCACACTAACAAGTAACTTGTATACATAGCAACCCATAGCGACATTAACTGCACATAACCTATAAAAGTCAAAACCGTGTCAATTTCATCAATTACTTTACAAGGACCCAAGTAATAAACTATAGTAAATTTTTAAATGATTTTTAAATTATTACCTTGTGTTAAAATATCTAAAACATGTCTTTCTATCTGATGATTGACGTTTACTAAATGCAAACCCAAACCACACTGACATTGTGCATTCTTTGCAACTGCACTATAAACGATGACATTTACCAAATAGATATGAACTAGTCATAGATTGTTTAAAACTAAAAATTATTTGGTAAACATTCTATGGCCGCATTTTAAATTTGTTAAAATTGTGTATTTAAATACATATGTAACCACAAAAGTCAATGTGAATTTTATACAATGTTACTATGGTTACTATACACTTTTCTTTTACCTATAAATGTGTTCTTGTTGTAATATAAATACCAATATACAAAAAAATAATCATTTCTAATTTACACTTGGTTTTAATAATAATTGAGCTTTCAAAAATATTTTCTATCTTTTATTACACATAATTTAACTTAATATTTCAATTACCTTTGCAGCACAGGCGCCTCTCAAAATGAATGATTCTATCCATGGTCACATGCAATTCGATCCTCTGATTTTCAAAATAATTGACACACCAGAATTTCAAAGATTGAGAAATATTAAGCAGCTCGGTTCATCCAATTTGGTTTATCCTAGCGCAACACACAGTCGCTTTGAACATTCTATAGGGTATTTATCATTGGTATTTTATGTATTAAGAGGTATAAAAAATGTAAAAATATTCTGCGTAACTAACATGAGAATAACAGAATTTTGGAGAATTGTTCAGTATTACAATACGGTAGTATTAAATAATAAATTTATATGGACATATATCCTGTAAAGCTTATTCATTGTATAGTAGAGACTGGACAAATTATATATAAACCATCACTCAATAAGTCCATAGGATTATTGACATTTGGATATTGAAATTTTGAATAATTTGCTACGAATATTTAATAATATGAAAAATTTATGGTATATTAAAGATTATGGTAATAGTAAAGTCCACATTTCAACTTTGTAAGAATTATTCAAAATTCCAATGTCCAAATATAAATAGTTCCACAGACTTATTAAGTGATGGGCTATATACTTACATAAATAAATAAATATATATAAATATATATATATATATATATTATATATATATATATTTATTTATATATATTTATTTATGTTATATATCTCTGTATAAATTTATTTCTATATCTAATATTTATATATCTATCTATCTATCTCTTCTATCTCTAAATATATATATATATATATATATATATTTATGCTATATAAATATATGTATATATACATATGTTAAAATATTTTATAATAATTTTAATGTTGAAGTATTATAATCAGGACAATAATACATTAAATAAAAATTGTAGAAATTAATAAAATCTTTATCATTTCCATTCATTTCGACATATTATGAAATCTACAATGAAATATAAATTGAAAGAAACTAATAATTGGAAGTCGTAATATAAAATAACTAAACTACTTACATGACAGTGAAAAAGAAAAATAAATCTGACTAATATATAAAAAAAGTACAATTGCATGAATTAGACTTGCATGTAAACTCGAATGTTCCTAATTAACAAATGATAATAATAATATTTCACACTATTTCTTGTGGATTTAAATCATTGTTTAATCTGAAAAAATATTTTTTTGATTTCAATGAACAAGAAATAGTGAAGTATTATTATTATCACTGCTTAACTAGGTATTTTTACTTGATGTACTGCCCTAAATAATTTGCTTCACTTATTTCAAAATCAAAATTACATTAAAAAAAATTAACACATATAATATTTCTAGAGTATGCCACCTTGCTGGTGAAATGCTGAATAATCTCGAATTGCATACAGAAAATCTTACCATTTTGCCAAAGCACAAAATGTGTGTTAAAATTGCAGCTTTATGCCATGACTTAGGACACGGACCTATGTCTCACTCATGGGAAATATATGTTAGAAGAAATCAACCTGAAGACAATTGGAGTGTAGGTTTTCAAGCAAATCTAAATTTAATTTCAATCAAAATTAAAACTATCTTAATAAGTAAGATCATGTTTTAGCATGAACAAGCATCTGTATTAATGTTTAAGAAATTATTAGAAAATATTAACCACGATTTATCATCCGAAGATATTTCAATGATTGAAAATTTGATAAAGGGATTCGATGAGGAAAGTGATTTTACTGTAGCTCCTGAATTACAATATTTATATGAGGTGAGTTGATAGTATAAAACAAACATGCCAATGTTGCATACAACTGTTGTAGTTATTTGCTAAAAAAATAATATAGTGATTATCCCAAAATGTAATGTTCCAATATATGATATAAATTTTAACACCTACTTGAAGATAATACTTCCACAGTTCTCTTTTTTTTAATTCATAAATTTATTTTCAGATAGTAAATAATAAATATTGTGACATGGATGTTGATAAATGGGATTACCTAATCCGTGATTCAAAATACACTAATATTCCAACCGGTTTTGATCACATGCGATTATTATCAGGAAAGTGTTCTGAAACAATTCTAGACTAGAGACTTATTTCAGCTAATTCAATTAAAATTTGCATAATTCATTATTTTAGGTGTTAAAGTTATTAAAGATGTTGATGGCACAAGTCATATTAGTTACAGAGATTCTGATGCTATTAATGTATCTAGAATGTATATGGACCGTGCTAATTTACACTTTTATTGTTATAAACACAAAGCTGGTCAAATGGCAGAAGAAATGTATGAAGAAGTATAAAATATTAAGCTATATATTATGACTTGAAACATCATGATAACATAAAATTAACATCTCAGATTTTCAAACAAAAACATTTACAAACTTCTCCTTTGGGAAGTTAATCAAATGAAATGGTTATATTTTTATAAAAATATTTATCAATTACTTTCTACAACTTAAAATAATAGCTTATTTCTAATTGTATGAGTAGTTTTAAAACTAAAGTATAAAATTCTTAAAAAATCACAATTAATTTTTATAAAAATCAAAATAAATATCAAATAACCATGCAAAACACAATATTTAATATATATATATATATATATATATATATATATATATATTTCCAACAGGTATTTTGATGCAATTGCCTTAGCTGAAAATGATCCAAAGTTGAAAATACGACTACGATCGGGTGAAGAGTAAGCAATTTATATTCTCAGAATTATTTAATTTTATTCTTGAAACTAATCAATAACTATTACAGGTACAAATTTTCAACTGCTCACAGGAATATGGTTGCTTATGAACAATTAACAGATAGTATAATAGAGAGAATACTTTGGTCAGATTGTGATGAAGCTAAATCATTACTAAATCGAATATTGATAAGAGATTTCTATAAAGTCATTTATAGAAAAAAATTTAGCAATGTAACATATAATTGTATTTAATATTTTTTTATCCGTCTTGCTTAAACTTATATAGTTTTTTTTTTTAGAAAGATGATTTAGATAGAATTGAAGGTGCAAAAAACCACATCTTAAAATATTTATCTGACAAGACTAAGTTGAAACTAGGTATGAACAAAAGAACTATGGCAATGGGAAATAATGGTAAACTTAAAAATACACCATTCCATAACAAATATGGAGAAAAAGTAATTGAGCAAGATTTGCAGTTATTTAGCCAATCGTAAGTTTCTTATTAAAATGAACGATAACCAATTACTTTGGGCTTTAGATCTGTTTATGTAGTTCTAGCCTTTACAATATACAAGATATTTTTTAGAGGTAGTCCTGAACAATTCTGGTATGGGGAAATACTAATATTTAGTAAAGAAAATAGAACAGCTTCAACCGTGTGCAGAAATGTAATAATTGATAATGAAGCAAACAAATGTATTAATGAAATTTTAGAATCAAGTCCTATACGAAATGGAATTTAAAATTTTATTCATATACCGTATTTTTATGTTCTGAGTTTTTATTTAATATTTGGAGTACAAATATATATATAAGAAAATGAAATTATATAATTAATAATAAAAATATTTAGTTATTTTTATAAACCAAATGTTTCATTTTATTTATTAACAATATCCAAAACTTGATTGTCAATTACATCTGTAGCAATCTCTATGGACTTCGAAGTGTGGCTCTTCATATGCACTACAATTGAAATTAAATATTTTGTGATATATGATTATCTTTAAATTGGAAAATATTAAACAAAATATATCACAAACAAATGATTCTAAAAATGTATAGCTGTTTCAATTCTTGCATCTATTATTTTAATTAATATAATATATAATTCTAACTCATTATTTTTTATATCTTTTTGTTTGGACAAAAGATTAAGATTTAATAATCTGTTCAAATATTATTTCAATTATATATAATAACAAAAACAATTAAAAAATTAAGACTAGATTTCATTTCACTAGTTCAAATTATAATTTATTTTGTGTACCATAATTTAATTAATTTATGAAGGATTATTTATAATAAGCACTTACGGTTTAGTTCTGTTGAAGTATAATATCCATTTTGACAAATTGCACAGCAATATGGGCGTTCACCAGTATGCCTTCGCATGTGACCTTTAAGTGCACTGCTTGCAGCAAAAGATTTATCACAAAATGAACAATCATATGGTCTCTCACCTAAAAATAAATTACTTATTTAGTTAAATGATAATTTAAAAAAAAAATGTCAATGTATATTTACCTGTGTGATAACGCATATGCACTTTTAGATCACCAGACTGACAGAAACCTTTTAAGCAAACCTAAAAAAAATAATCAACTTTTTGAAATTGAAAATAAATTCGCATAATTCAAAATAAAGATAAAGAAGTATAAAGAAGGTCAGTTGCCAACAAAATAAATAAAAAACTAAATAACTAAAAATATATAAACTGAACTAGTTGTAAGTGGCGTTTTGCATCAAAGCAAGGTACATAAACTTCCCCAACATGTATAAATAAATATTCGACTTGATAAATAAGAAGTGAGATATAGCAACTATTAAAATTGTGATGATAAAATTTTTAACTGATTATAAAAATAAAGATTTCACTTTTCATGTAAAACTCATCCACGCTAATTCCATTGATATTAATCCAATTATTGCATTATTCTGAGTTGTTTTAATTAAACTACTTCTGAACACTTCTTAGTTAAACTTTTGTAGACCCATAAGTTATAAGATCATAAACTATGATGATGATGATTTCTATTTTTATTTGTTATCTTTTGAACATTCAAAATCAGTTCAGTTTGACGAAAAAAATTGCACTTATCTACTAATTATAAAGAAACGATATTGGTCTTGGTGGTGGATGACCTCTTGCTCATGCGTACGTTGCGTTTATTTATTTATTGGACAATCAGTAAATACAATAATTGCCTATAACTCTTTGTGAAGTGTTGATATCTAATGATTTATTTATGAACTAAATACACTATACTATGTACTAACTCATATCGACTAATAATGTACTCATATTATTTATTTATGACAATTGTGTGGACAAGTGTAGAATGAGAAAAGGCTTTGTTGGCTTGTTATATTTGTACTAAAATTCGGTCCTCGTTTGAAGATGAAACAATTGATCGTTTATATTTTTTAAAAACATATTTTAATAAACAAAATATAACTTCTTAATTGAATTTGTTTTCTTCTTTAAATATATAATTCCATATGAGCCCATTATACGTAAAGTATAACATAAAAGTTAATATATAATTGTTTACTTGCAAGTTTTTTTTTGTATCTATCTAACTCCTATTCTCTATGTGATAAAATATTTAATATGTACTCATTTTAAAACAATAATAATGCTAATATGTCAATATAACAACTGCAGTAACTAAAAATTTGACTAGTAAATTTATCATTGATAATACCGGTATTAAGACCGGGATCCGATATTACAAATTTCAAATATCGAATACCGGTATTCAGATTTTAGTACGGTATTGGAAGGCCTACTTGAAATGTTGACAAATCATAAAATCAGCAAATCTTATTTTCTGAAAGGAACAAATATGGGGAGGTTCCCATAGCACTCGAGACCTTTTTTGTAAAACATACCAGTAATTGTTACTACTACTAACACACTGAAAAGTAGCAAGAACCTCGGAAAACTGATGGGTAATATGTATACAACATTGCTCAAAAGTTCGAATTCAAAAATTAATTATTATAGTATATACAAAAATTAAAACATATTAAAAAGAGAATGATTTTAAGAATATTATTTCGAATAAAAAGATATAAACCTCGCACTGATACGGTCTTTCCGTGGTGTGCGCTCGCATATAATGAGCCCGTGCGTGTTCTGGTCTATTGAAGCTGCGCGTACATCCAGGATGCGAACAAGGATGTAACCGTACAGAACCTGTGTGGAATCTGCTATGCGCCTCCAGTTGACTTCTTAACATGAATGCTGTAGAAAATATATGATATAAAACAACTAATAACATAACTCAAGTGCAGTAAATTTGTTTTGTTTGAAAAATTTCGCCCTGGCACATTCCGCTATAAAGAAACAGCTAGGCCAATTGTCTCTCAAAATCAACATGAGTCCTTATCAGTGTTATTTGATAATACAAGATAAGATGAATAATTTAACCAAATTTAGTAAAGTGAAAACAGAAAATAGGAAAAATAATAAATACAAAAACAATAACAAATAGTTATAATAATAATAATAATTATATATGTAAGTAATTGAAGAAAAGAAATAAGAGAAAGATCTAGAAGAATCAAATAATAACAATTAATTAGTGAATATTAAGAAAAATGAACATTTGTATGTATCGATTGGATTTGTATGTAAACTTCTTCTGCGGGTAGTTTATGAAACATAAAAATAAATCATTTCTGTTCTGAAAAATATGTAATAATAACGCTTCGCATACACTTAATTAGTAAAATGTTATATTAACCTAACATGACCTTATGTAAGTCAAATATATGCTCAGATTTACGATTTGATAAAATTGTATTTGTAGTAACAATAGAAAATATATTCTATTGTGGGTACAAATACAAATTTATCAAATGCGTAAATTTGGGAATATTTTTAACTCATACTATAGTATACACAGAAAACAAATGAAGTAGTGATTTGACCATAAAATTAATTGAGAATTACTTAACTCAATGCATATACCAATCTCTAAGTAACAGTTGCACTGTCAACTATAAGTATTGCTACTTTGAATTTTATTTTTGCGATTTCATTTTTTCAATTACTGACAGTAATATTAAAATATGTGTGTAAGTATTACTTGTACCTAAATTACTTATTCTAATTTTTGTAAAACAATGAAATATAACTAAAAGGACTTCTATAGGTCTATACCGTCTACATGGTTCTACAACAATGAAATAGAACAAAATAGAGGTCTACATTTTTGAAAAACATTCTTACCTCTTGAACAAACACTGCATATATATTGAAAAGCATGGACTTTCATATGTTGTTTCAATTTAAGATTTGATTGAAATTTTGTATCACATACCTACAATAAACTTTAATCAGATTAAATTAAAAAAGTATACATAAATAAGAAGAAAAAACTATTACATTGCAAGCATATGTAACTCCTTTGATTACTTTGTCATCTTTTCTTAATTTTGCTTGTTGCTTAGCTTGTTCTAAAAGAATTGGATCATCACATTTTTTATGAACTTCCCACATATGTTTTATTAATATATGCAGTCTTGTTACCCTAAAAATACAGCATGAATTACATGCAAAAAAATAAACTTATGTAGCCTAGCATTACTAATATGCTATTTGATTTGGTATGTAAAATCTTATAGAGCACACTTTCTAACTCGAATATTTGAATATGTGGTGTGCAATGCTATTATAGATTTATGAATAGCACTTGATTAAGAACTTTTAGGAAAAGAAAAATATAGTTTTGTAATTTCAAATAAATATTATATTAGCCATTATAAATATCAATTACCTTATTCCACATTCTGTGCAAATATGAGGTTTACCATCACTAGCAACTTTATCATCTCTTTTTCCACTATGACAAAGCAAATGTGAATCCAGACCTTGTTTACGATTAAATGTTTTTCCACATTCTTGACAAATGTAAGGCTTATCCCCAGTATGAATACGCATATGTAACGTTAGGGCATATTGTTGTCTAAATCCTTCATTTTAATCTTAAAATCTTAATAATTTGTTCAAAATCAGATTGTTAAAAAAAAGCTTCTAGTTACCTTTTCCACATTCATTGCACAAGTAAGGCTTTTGCCCAGTATGAATTCTTTCATGATTTTCTAAATGATGAACTTGATTAAATTTTTTAATGCAATACCTGCATTTATATTTTTTATCTGATTCTGCTGTATGACATGTTGCATGCAGTCTACAAAATAATAATAAAAAACTAACAGTATGGATACAATGGGATAAATTTTTACTTATTTTTAGAAAAACCAAATAACACACAACAATATTTACATTGTTATTTCAGCTGTAAGTTATTAATACAATTACTAACTGTACGAAAACTATAAATGGATATATAGTTGCATATGTAAATCAATTTGCCTTAGATTTTATACAAATATCTCTTTATAAAAATATCGTTTATTTAATTTATCTAATAGTAACATTATTTTGAAAAATATAGAATTATTTGTATTATATATATATATATATATATATATATATATATTTTGTATGATTCTGAATTTGATGTTGACATATGTATTAACAAAGTCTAATAATCGGGCATAACATCAATAAAAAACATGAATTTCTTTCAAAAATTTATTTTAAATCCATACGTTTAGGCTATAATCCTAGCCTTCATTCAGTGGAAACTAAAATTAAAATTAAAAACTAAAACAATTGAATTGGAGTGAAAAGAAAAAATAAAATAGTAATTAGTACTTACAATTAGTTGATCTTAGTGTTAAATTCGAAAATTTTAATAATCCATGGTATTAGGATATGGTAATGCACTACACTATGTATTATAAACATTAACTTGAAATTACACAATATTTTCACAAAACTGATTTGAAAAAATCACAAATGGATAGTGTGTTATTCGTAGACTGGTTGAAGATGTAATGGAGAAAGACATTTTTTTAAAAAATATTTTTACCAAGATTCTGCACATGTGTGGAACGAATTGTAAAACCTTTGCACAAACGCTTTTATTGTTTTGTAAGAAATTTGGAAATGTTATCTAAATAGAAGAGATTTGTGTCGCACAGCGTGTTGAGCTCATTCCGTTTATTTATTGTCTTATTGTTATAAATAGTTAAAAAAGATCCCTCTATAATTCTTCGTTTAAATAAATTTTGTTCAAATTGTAGTACAGTCGGATTAGAAAAGTCCATATTGTGTTTTAAAGTGTATATATGGTCTGCATATATATATATATATATATATATATATAAATTTATTAAAAAATATCATACCTGAGTTTTCTCTGATTGAGAAAAGTTTTATTACAAACATTACAAATGTGTGTTTGTAAATGCTGTTTCCTAACATGTCTATCCAAATTAGATTCATTACAAAATGACTTATTGCACGAAGAGCACCCATATTTCATGTCTATTATTAATTACACATTAAATACTTGAATACAATATTCAAACATAGAACATTAATGCAAACCTTTAACATGCAGTTTCATATGAGATCTTAATTCTGATAAAGTTTCAAAACAATTTCTACAACTTGGACAAATATGTTCTCTCGAAAATTCCACTTTATCTTCTGAGACCAAAATATCATTGTTTAAAGTTGTATTTTCTGAGGATTTGGAAGTACATTTTCTGTTATGTTTTTCAAGATCTGATAAAACACCAAAGGATTTATTGCATATACTGCAAGTATATTGTTTAGGTCTCTTCACATTCAAAGTGAACTATAATTCCAAATTTGTAGTTGCATTAAATGAAAATAAATTAGTGATTTCAATCAATAAAATATATATCAACCTTGTGGAATTTTCTAATATGTTCATTGTATTTAATTCTCCAATGAAAAGAAATTTCACAATCAGCACAATGATAGGTCTTTTGTTTTTTTTCAACATGATTTTCACAAGTCTGTACATGTGATGCAATATTATCATTATCATTTTTAACATCATTCTCCTTAAATTGTGATTCTGAAACAATTTTTTTTACACTATTTTAAACACTAATAAATTGTGCATTCAACTCAACTCACTTGTACTTTCTCCAAGGATTAATAATGATGCATTATCATCTAATGTAATTTCATCTATAATTACTTCTACGGCTGCATTATTTTTTATTTTTATTCCATCCAAATGCAGTTGATGGGCCGACTTGATTAAAATTAGAACACATTTTATAAAATTGAGAATTAAGTATTAAAAATATATTAAAATTATATACCAAAAATATATTTCACTTACAATATTATTATCAATTTTATATTTTCTTAATAATTCCTCGGAACTTTGGCACTGAATGTAAAACAAATATATTTCTTTAAGTTTTTGCATACAATCCATACAAATATGCTTTGGTAAACCATCTTCAGGTACAATCTATAGGCACATGATATTTATTTGTATTATTTGAAAACATATTTATTTTATACCAAATATTTAAATGATTTACCTCTATACAGCAATTCAAATTTAGAACATCCTTCATTGAAATTATTTTTTGATCTTGGATGAACACATCATCGTATAAAGATATAGATTCGGCATTTAAATTTCCAAGACAAGTTCGGCATGTTTTTTCTAACGAAAAAATCTCCGACATATTAACACGTTCTTAGAAAATTAATTATAATAATATCATTAACGTTTAACCAAAATCTGTGTTTATATTGGAGATGATTTATAGCGAATATATCATCATAATCAAGATTCTTTTACAAACTTGAATAGCCAAACTATTTATAATTTTCACTTTATATAGCATGTTCCAAAGTAAATTTAAAAAAATATATTGGGTTATAAAACTAAATAACTAATAAATACAAATTATAAAAAATACAATTAGAATTTCAATAATTGTTTAAAACTTATTGAAGGCTTTTAACACTCGGCATTGTTTTTCTCGTAATCTATTGAAGTTGAATCATTTCTTAAAATGCTTATCGGTTTCGATAGAAATTATTTCATATAACTATAACCTAACTATTTATAAGCTTAATTAATATGGGTTTATTTCGTTAATTACAATTTATCTATATTGCCGATTAATATTTTCAAACTTATTAAATATTAATTGAAATAGCCTAATAAATTGTATACATATCATTTGACAAAATAATAATATTTTTATATGGCACTTGACAAATGACAAATGAAATGGGTAAATACCAGTATGACCACCATAATAAGTTATTTCAGCGAAGTTCACATTCAATTGAATTAACGAAATAGCAACCAGATTCGAATTGAATTTTCAAAACCTAAATTCGGAATAAGCTGAAAAATAAGTTAAAGATTGTGAAATATTTCTTTTATGAACATTTTAAATGTTTAATAAAATTTCCTGAGTCGTTTGACTGCTATTTATCTACAATTGAGTATTTAAAAACCAAACAACTAATAAATTCTGTAATAATACTATAATTGATTCACATGTCTCTTTTAACATTTTCTAGATAAAGATAAATGCAAACAACTGTTAAAAACAATTATAAAGATATAAATAGTATATAATCAAATTATTGTCTGACAAATGTCTTCGTACTAAAATGAAAGTGCTATCGCGTTGCTTATAGGTATTAGTGGACGAAATATCGAAACGCGGTTGCGCTGCGTAGCAATCAAACGATAACTACTAATTTTTTCAGCTTATAATAAATATTGCACGTGTATATAAACATGTAAACTCATGTAAAAATATCCATATCATAAATATATATCCCATTCATTTTAACAAACAATGAAAGTACCAAACATATACCAAACATATATCTTTTATTAATTTAGATTTTTGTTAAATTGGTTGTAAATATTATATATATATATATATATATATATATATATATATATATATATATATGAGTATATGATACAATATTTACACATTTATGTCATAAAAATATTTGAATGAAAAACATTAATATAAATTATGGTATTTTCTTAAATTGTTCTCGTAACTCATTAATTTCACTATTTGTAATTTTTCCAGGGACAACAAATGCATTCTATAAATAAAGTTCATAAATATCCAGCGGCTTAAATATTTAATTAGACCAATTATAAAAATATTTATTTACCTTCATAAATTCATGGCAATCTAAAACAGAATAATTATCACCCACATTTTGAAAACATTGAAATAGAGATGTAAAATCTGATGATTTCATAATTTGGGATCGAAGTATGTGCACTAAAGTTAAACCAGCGCGAAATAGTATCTAAAAATATAATTATTTATTAGCGCATAAGTTTGAATTTTAAAGATATAGTATACTATAGTATACTATTGTGCATTTTATTACTTGCACTTAGAATTCACTAGAAAAATCATAATTTGCTACATTTTGAATACACCTTATAATTCAATGGAAAAATCATAATTAACTACATTTTGAACATATACAAACTACAAAAATTCTTCAATTAAAATCTGTAAGAACACATCAATATGTACATAAAAAATAATAGCAAAATGTAGTGATTGAATTTTTAAATGTTTTTAATTAATAAAATTGTAACAGATCATATAAAATATCAACTAAGCAGTTAATTGAAGTTAGTTTTAGTTTTACTAATTTGTTTCTTATTTTTTTAATTAACAGGAAAAAGTAAAAATACCTTTGATCCTTCATAAAATAAGCAGTCCCATAATCTTAGTACTGTTTCTGTGGGTAGAACTTCAGCAAATAAACAAACAAACCACTTTGTAAAGATTACTGGCCAAGGCATTCCTGTACAAAAATCATTTCATTTAAAACACATTACCTAAATTTTCTATGTCATCAATAAAATAATACCTAGATCTACTATATGTTTGTATACATCAGGAAACTTTATACGTATTAATTCTGATAAAACTTTTATATCAACAATAAGTCCATCCATTGAACGTGTATAATATGATGGTAACAGATCCTCCACTAAATATTTTAGTAAGAAAAATGATGAACTTTCACAATCAGTTATTAACAATAATAGACCTAAAAGATATAAATATTAGGTGATAAATTTTATAAGAATATAAACAATCGATGTAAATGATAATAACATTATTTAGTACATTTATGAAACATAGGACAAATAATAGGATATAAAAATACTCTAAATTATCAAAAAGAAGAAAAGATTGTAACCAGAGTAAAAAATGAATAAACTAGTATATAAATATTTAAGTGATAATTATATAAATAAATAATATAAGCATGTAAAATGTTAATATTTTACAATAAAATTATATCAAGTTCATAATTTGTTGTGATAAAAATATAAGCAATATTAATCAATAACTCAGGAGATTATAAAATTAAATGAGTTAATCCAATGGTCATCTATTATTTTTAAACCGATAAGAAATAAAAGAATATGTCATATAAAAACCTGCTATATAATTTAATCCTTGACAATATCCTACATTTTTGTTAGCATTTGCATAAGCAACTAGTATGTTGCAAAGTTGATTTTGTCTATTAATTTCTTTGTTAAAAAAAATATTGGTAGGAAAAGTCCGAGGTAAATCAGCCCGTATTACTTCAAATAATTCAGGTTCAAGACTAATATGTAAATGGCTTTTGTAAAAATTTTGTGATGCATTTGTGTCATGACTGACTCCAGCAATAGCTAACCACACACATTTTCTTTGTGAACCTGTAATTGAAAATGGGTATATAATTACAAATTTTAACGCTTTAGGTGGAATGACTTACTCGGTATGCCCTTTCTAATGTATCGCTTCAACAATTTACTTCTTTTCAAACCAATATTTTGGTTTAATAGTGTTTGCCATTTCTTAGATCTTCGTGCTAAAGTACTTAAGTAATTTGAAAAAAATTTCTCGTATACTTCATAATCAAAATTTTCTGGTCTTTCAAATCCATATTCATCAGTGTTACTATATAGGAGAAATATTGATTGAAAATACTTTTGATATTTAAAAGGACCATTACTTACTGAAAATGAGAAATGGCCATAAGAAAATGATGAAGCTATATCAATAATAATCTATGGAATATGAAATATTTAACATAATTAGAGTAGAAATGAGAACTAGTATTACAATTATATTGTCTAGACGACCAAGCGCACTTTTAAATTAGAATAAACCAATTAACCTAAATTTATTGTGAAATGTCATTGAATGACAATGACGCGATATGCATTAGTTATGTTGGTATTAGATTTCTACAAATAAGTAAAGCAAATTGACGTTTTACATTCCAAATAATATTTTTTAATACGAATTTTAAATATAAAAAATGACTGAATCTGAATTTCAACAAATTGACCTAAGTGGCAAGCTTATTATTAAGGTAAAACTTTCATCAAATTTTTGATGTCGTTAAAAATTCATCTATAAATAAGTAATTAATGTTTAGGTTCAACTTGGCAATGATATACGCAGAATTCCTATTCATAATGAAGCCCTAACTCTTGATGAGCTTGTGCTAATGATGCAAAGAGTATTTAGAGGAAAATTATCATCTAATGATGATATTACCATCAAATATGCAGATCAAGGTATTAGACTGGGAATGCCCAACAAACTGGTTGCTTAAAAAAAACATTTACTCTATATTTTTGTATATTGCATTAATTTTATAAAAAAAAAGTTCACTATCATTAGGGCTTCCAATACCATACTAATCTGAAAACTGGTCTTTGATATTTGAAATTTGTAAGCCATAACTCATACATCATTCACTTATTCATTTTTTAAATAGACTTATATTTCAGATGGAGATTTGATAACTATATTTGATAGTTCTGATTTATCATTTGCTATTCAGTACAGTCGTGTTTTAAAGTTAAAAATATTTTTGAGAAATAAAGATACTCTAGAAAATGGTAAGCCAATACATTATTGTCAACTACTGTAAAAATTTACTTATCCATTTTCTGTCTTTAGATAATTTTGAATGTTTTGATTGTTCTGTGATTAAAAAAGAATTATGTGCAATACGGGACCAAGTGAATCGATTGCTGGATACTTTAAGTAGTGCACATAAACCACATTATGTCACGCAAGGAAATAATAAAGAAATCAAAGGTAATTTCAACAATACTTAAAATAACTATTCACGATTTACGTTCATCGTCACTATTCAAAATTCATTATATCAAATAACTAAACTTGTTAAATTATATTTACCAGCTGCTTCCAAGGAATCAGAACATGAGCATCAATCACAAATTAAGCCAACAGCTGTTACTAAAGACTTCGACCCCATACAAGTAAGTTACATAAATAATCTTTTTTTATAATGGTTTATATTAAGTATATCTCTATTTAAGAAAAGTAAAGTAAAAGAGGCAGTAGTAGAAGATAAAACACCAAAAAATACACAAATAAAAACAAATGCAACATTACAAAATAATGTTGAAGTTAGTAAGGTTGATTCAGCTTTTAATTATCCACAAACTCATCTTCAGCAAAATGTTGGAACAACTCCTGCTTTACAAGGTATATATTACTGTGATTGCAATTATGTTCTCTCAAATATCAAATATATCCTTTACCAAAATACATAATCATTTCCATGAATTAAATATCAATAGTAAAATGTTATAAATTCACTTCAGATAAACATTTAAAATATCAATCTTTACAAAAATAAAATGTTGACTAGTAAATATTATTAAAAAATATTCCAATTAACAGGAGAAGTTCCACTAGTTAGCAGCCGTATATTTCCACCTAGTAATACAAAACTACCTCAGCAAGGAACTACAGGGGGTAATTAAAATTTTAATATCTCATTAAAGAAATAACTATTTATAAGAAATGATCACTGTGGGAAATTCAGTTTTTTTTTTTATTAATTTGTTTTCGGCAATAAGCACTTCTTTTTATTCAGTACTGCAATTTTATATGTATGCATAAATGCTTTATTCAAATTTTCTTTTCTGAACCCAACATTATTTTGCAGCGATTTCAATTGATGGAAATATTGCACAGCAAAATTATGGATACATGCAACCACAACCATCTAATGTAGCATTTTCTGATTATTCCCAGTATAATCAATCATGGTAAGAATAACATAATATTATTATTAAACAATTGTTATATATACATATTTGTAATTCTATATGTATGCTTAGTATGCCGACTAGTATGTCCCAGTATTCTATGCCAAATGATACAAAACAAAACTTACCACCTCCAACATCGGTGTACCCAGTTGCAGCTGACATCTCTCAACATGGAGTTCACTCCAGTTACAATAATATTTTGTACTCAAATCCAGCTTACCAAATACCACAACAAGTGCCAACATATCAAATGCAGCAAATGGGATTGTATCAGGATAATAAACAATGAAATAAAAGAATCCATACCGATATAGTAAATAATTTGCCCAATTATTTTATGGACAATTAGAAAAAAATATATATTCTATATCTTAAAACCTATATATATAAAATGTCAAATTTATACAAATTCAATTTATTTTATTTGCTTTAAATGTATATATAAATATATACTATGATTTTATACTCAAGTACATCTTTCCTTTAATTGTTTGCTTAATAGGATTTATTCTCTTCAGAATTTGAGTCATCATTTCAACAAGTTTATCACTTGAAACACCAGTTTTTTTAGATTTGAATTTTGTTAAAAGTTCAGTTGTTGTCATCGGTTTACGCATTAAGTACCTTCGTACAGCATCTTCTGTTATACCAGTATCATTACTAAAATAATAAAATAAACATTTTTCAAATGAATGTAAACTTTGTAACACCATAAAGAGTTTTTATATTAATATCTTATTATTGATGATGTAAAATTGATCACTCATCAGCAGTCTCAATATTAAAAATATATAAATATCCTCACCTTGCTGTATTAAAAGTGGACATATTTTCCATTCTTGGTTTCTTGGCTAAAGAATCATTATTGCCCTGCGAACTTTGAGCAGATTGAGTTAAACTAGGAGATCCTGACCTTGAATTGGGTGCACTAAAAATCGAATATAAAAATGTATAGTTAAAATTACAACTAGTTGCGAATAGCAATTTGTCTTAAGGAAAGTTGTATGAGCTTCTCAATATGAATGCATAATTAACTTAGTGAATAAGAATAGAATTTCAACTATTTATGGAAAATTTTCAAATTATCAGTATGATTTCTAATTGATATCTTGTTAACATACCTATAATAACTGTAATTGTATAAATTAAATTAATTTATTTAATTAAATTAATTTTTTGTTCCAATTAAAATCGCTGAAGTGAGTGCAATTCCAAATTAGATAATTTTTTATAATTAAACCACCTATCATAAGCCTAAAATATTTCAGTATTTTATTCCATACTATAAAAACTATTGTCATATAAAGTTTCATCAAAGAAACGACTTCAGTCCAGCCATTTGAGAAAACATCCATCAAAGGTCAAAAATCGGTGCATGATATAAATATACACACACACACAAACTTTTTGCAAATATTTTTGGTCTCATTCAGTTCAGAATGACATGAAATGTTGAGAAAACAAAATTAGCAAATTGAAATTTTTCGAAAATATAAAGCTCTCCTTCAAAAAACTTAAATATTATTCTATTCTATTATAAATTCTCACCTATTATTTTCCTTAAAACGTTTAGTTTGAGATTTCTTCCTATCTGAGTCAGAATCACTGCTATCAGAACTGAAATTATCACTCGAATCTAAAACATAATACATAATAATTTACACACAAAAAATATAATATTGAAATGATGTAAATATGATTTTTTTGTAATGTTTACTTCAGTTAAAATACATATGCAATAAATGGCTCATCAAGGCTGATTAGCAACAGGCATTTAAGTTTTATAAATATACTAGAAAATTTAACTATTTTAAAAACCTGATATGAATTTATATTTACCTTTCTTATCATCTTTCTTGCGTTTCTTTGGATTCTTTTTCTTATCTTTGACATCTTTCTTTTCTTTATTATCTTTGTCTTTGGCATCTTTATCAGCATTTTCTTCATCTTTATTGCTTTCTTCGCCCGATTTGTTCTTCTCCTCTTCAGAGTCCTCATCAGACGTCAAGAGCTTTCTCAAAGCATCTTCTTCAGCTACTGATTTTAATTCCTTATTAGCTTTGCCCTCATGGTCTGTATCACTGAATGAAAAAAATAGTTAAATATAGAATACAATGCATGTATATTTGTTGTATATAAAAATATCAAATAAGTACACTAATTTTAAGATAAACCCACATTTTTTTATTTTTTACTTTCTTATTTCTTTTTTTAATTAAACAATATACCACCAATGCAGCTAAACCTTGTTTTCGCCGGGAACTCATCATAATAACTAATAATATACGTCGTTTAATATACACTAATAAAATCGTCAATTGTCTCACAAGAACTAACCTGAAAAACGAAGTTTACTTCTATAGCCTTGTTGTCAAATTTACACTCTACCTAGATTAATATATATTAATATATTCAGCCACAAGTGTACATAGCTTTTTAGGGTGTCTAGGTAGAATTGCTCTAGCACCTCTCACCTACTTCTCTCCTAGAGTACGAAAGTGCTCTCGGAAGAGAAAAACTCTTTACAGTGTACAAACAACGGTAAAGCGCTCAGCTAGAGAGTCTACAACACTCTACCTGGATTTTTCTCTACAGTGTAAAGCCGCCTTTAGTGGAAAAGGTATAATTTAATTTAAAATACTAGTGCATGTCATCGTGCTTTACGGCAAATTGCTGGAACTTGCAATACCGCAATTAACCCTCCGTCGGTCGGATATCTATTTACCTTCGAACGGTCGAAGTAGTCTGGCTGGACCACACATTTTTTCGTCCTGATTTTTTCATTGATCGACAGCTAATGAAATTTTAGGAAAAGTCCAGAAATTTCAAGTCGATAGGATTAACTAAAAGTTTGTTTTTTTTTAAATTTCTTGTATTTTACAGACGAAATGTGAATAAATATAAATAAATAATTTAGGCGATGACGCTTATATATTTTTGCAAGGAAAGTAAATAAACAAAATCTAATTTAAGGGGGGGGGGGGGTTTATCTCATATTTCATCATGCTTTAGTGGACCCTATCTCATAGTTTTAAGAATCATATAAACTGATGCTGCATTCTCTTAAAAACTTCAAATAATATACAGATAACGAAGATTTTTGTTCTGTACCTCTGAAACGGCTAGACCTGTCTTTGCCAAAAACTAATCGGCATGTCTACCCGAGAATACAAATCGAATATTTTTTGAATCGTTGAAATCGGTGCTCTGAAAATGTGGACCAAAATTTGCATTTGCACATACATAGACTCTCACACATCGTACATGGAGACAAGAAACAAGAGATAAGCAAAAGGGTTAGTTGGTATTATTTGTGATGAACCCAACATACCCAGACAAAAAACCTGGTCTGGCATGCGTAAATGCATCTCTTTTGCATTTGGATGGCATGCTCTTATGGATTGGATGAAATGTTTATTTTAATACAAATCTTTATTTTTAAAATAAAATATTAAGAACCCAAATAATTTTAAATTAAATATTATTGTATAACATATAGCAATTACATTTAATTAGTTATTGTAATAAAACATGAAAAAATGTAATCATGATTTTAAGAATTATGACGCAAGGAATATCATCAAAAATGGTTTTCTATCTAGTTACTGACTTGAAATAAATAATGGAAAAATATTTACCTATCACTGGAATCTGATATATAATCCAATTCTCGTCCTTCCTCATCACCATCATCTGACTCCTCAAAAGCTTCATCATTAACCTTTTTCTTTTTCTTCTTAGCAGCCTCTCCTTAAAATAAGTATTTTCATTATAATTTTTACTAAAATAACAATGATAGTAACGCATGATTAGCTACTTATTGATTTTAGTGCTAAAATTAAAATTATAACTAAAAGTGTTTGATCAAATTAACATAAATAAATTCTAAGCTCACAAAAACTAAGTTTAACATATTATCTGAACTAGTTATAGTTGTAGTAAATTTATTTATTGTGATATAGAAAAATTCCCTTTTGTATATTAGTCTTAATTTGATTTCCTTAATCTTAAATTTAATTGGTTCAAATAGTTTTCTAAACAAAAATAAAATAATCATTCGGTAGGCACATAAAGGTCGAGAATATTTATAATAATAAATTCTTCATTTATATTACGATTTGTATCTAAATACATACCTTTTTTATTCTTGCCCTTTCCTTTCTTGGAGTCTCCGTCACTATCATTTTTCTTCTCTTTGTCTTCATCAGAATCTGAAGACTCATCATCAGAATCCATCCATTCATCCATTTCAGATATTTTTAAATCTATAACATTCTTTATTTAATTTCATTTCATTCAAATTTCATAAAAAAAGGTATTATGTAAAGTTTCATTTTGCCTTTGCTTTTATTTTTTGAAGAACTTTTCTTAGTTTTTGCTTCATCTGGATCTTCAGCCTCAGGATTTTCATCTGGCTTCAAACGTTTTCGCATCATCAGTGAGAAGTAGTTCATTACTTTATTTCTCCTAAAAAATATGGTACATATAGATTATTTTTGAACTTAATAGAAATGCAACATGAACTCTAAAAGAGCATTTGGAATGTAAACTTAAAGAAGATGGAATATACTGACAAAATAAAACAAAAAATAATCTACTTTACACAATATTACAAGTCAAGTTATTACAAGTAATATTGACAAGTATATCAAGAAAAGAATGTCAGAAGTTTATCCATGGAAAAATAAATGAGCGATAGGACTTTAGTAATGAAAATTGCAAGTGATACAACAATAGTGAAAACGAAAAAATTCAAATCTTAAAATGAAAAAAAAAAATACTGACAAAATAAAACAAAAAATAATCTACTTTACACAATATTACAAGTCAAGTTATTACAAGTAATATTGACAAGTATATCAAGAAAGAATGTCAGAAGTTTATCCATGGAAAAATAAATGAGCGATAGGACTTTAGTAATGAAAATTGCAAGTGATACAACAATAGTAAAACGAAAAAATTTCAAATCTTAAAATGAAAAAAAAAAATGTTAAAAACATAAATTAAATTATAAATTATATAAAGATAAGAAAAGGTACATCTACTTCAAGATAAGCATAATATAATAATAAATATGTGAAAATGGACAACCAAAATGAATACCAGAAATAATTCAATAAATTAGACTATTTAACTCCCATGTATGTACAAATGCATATATACCTTCCAAATTCTTGTTCTGCCTCTTCAGCTGATAGTGCTTTATATCGTTGAATTGGTTGAAAGTTGTACCTGTGCATTAAAATTTTTAACGATATACTCTTTAAATCTATAGGGAAAAGGCTTGTAAGTTGCCACTGCTTGTAATTTGCCACCCCTGCTGGATTTTGACGTTCCAGCATGGACAATACCAAAATTCCAGCTGTCATCGATGGCAAATACATCATAACCAATTTCATGCCATGGATTAAAGCTTTTGAGGTCCTCTTTCCAACGGTACATTCACATCAAGGATATGTGTACTCAATGTCGAGATATAGGCATAAAAACGATGGGGTGGCAACTTACAATCCTTTCCCCTACTAAATAAATAAGAATTGAAAAAAAAAAAATTAATAAAACATAATATTTATATCTTTTACCATTCCTTTAGAGGATATGCATCAATTACACCATCAGGTCCATGAGTGAATACATAAAATGCTGCATTTTCAGAAACACCTCCTTCACGAATGCCTTTAAATCTGAAATTATATATCATGTTATTGAAGAGATCCAAAAACATGTTACTTTGTTAATTAAGTGGTATTTTTTGGTACTTTTTACCGCCTTTTCCACCAGCTTTAAGAATCCATGGCTGATCTTCTGGTTTATATTTCTTGGCAACTATACCAAACTTTTTACGCCTTGCTTCTTCTTTTAGTTCTCTTCCGAACTCAGATCCTGCACCAAACCTGAACCAAATAAAATTGACCAAATAATAAAATAATGATACATAACAGAATGTAATACGTACTTGGGCTGCTCTTCTTCTAAACCCTTAAATTCTTTCATGTTATTTTCCCGTTCCATTTTCACCTAGAAAGTAATAAGTTGTACAAAAATTAAACATAATTCGCTAAAATAATTTTAGTGAGGTTCTCGAACATAAATCAATTCTTCAAATGATAGAATTACTATAATGAAATCTGTAATATTGACAAATATTAACAAATATTATATTATTAACAATATCAGTATGAACTTAGAATACAAGAGCATACAATTAATTTTATTGTACTAAGTAGAATAGTTGAGATATAACACCTCTGTAAAAGTTGATTCACTAAATACTTGCCAATCACATAAAAATCATTATATTTAAAAACTCCCACGTATTTCTCTAGCTGAAAGTAAGCTTAAAAAAATTTCTTCTACATCCAAAATAATGACAAAATGTGTTTTTGAGTTATTACAATGGTTTTACCCCTTGTTATGTCTACAATCAAATAACCTAAGGCTACAAAACATATCAAATTGTCAACTCTTAGTCTAGGAAGCCTATGGAACGTTCTCGAAGAAGTATCAAGTAGATGAGCATTGAAAATTATAACAAAAAACTCTCTCGTAAATCTACAACAACTGGTATAAAATTGATTTGCACAGATTTTGGAATCGATCAATCAATAAAATTACAATTTATCTAAAATTGAAATTGTTGGGGCAAAAAGAACCAGTACAAAAAAGGGGTTACTTTTCAAGAATTCATAAAACAATGCTATAATCATGATTTTATAATAAATATTATATTCATTTTATTAAGTAATATACATTACATGAATCATATGATTTTTTTTTTGTCATAATTAACCGGTAAGTGCTACCTAACAGCGTTTTTTGCAAGATATCCAGGCAGTTTTCTGTACTTCAGATCCGTGCATTATTTTGTGCAAAAAAAATTATATTTGCGATTACTTGCTTTAAGAGAAAAGATATTTACGTATTTACCACATGCAAAGTCATCTTTATTAAAATTGTATGTCTATTTCATTTAAAGAATCTTTGTTTAAGACTAATTGACTATGTGTTTGGATAAATATAGAATTTTTTATCCATAGAATGTACGCACTCGAATAATAAGTATCAAATTTGTTATCTTTTGCATTAGTTTCATCACATTTGTTGAGCTTTATTGCAATTTTACTAATTTTAGATTAAATACAGTTTAATTTTCATAGATTTTACTATATTATTTCTTATTTTATTAGGGTATTGCTCAATTCTGAAACCGTGTTAGGGCAAACCTATGCTTTAAAAGTACCGTGTTATAAGGGGAATGGTATCAATTCTTAAACCGTGTTAGAGCAAATCCGTGTTATAGAAGTACCGTGCTATGCAGGGGTTACATGTATATACATATAAAGGTTAACCTTAAGCATCAAGATTATCAATTTGAATCCTGAATAATCACTTCAAAGTAAATGGAAAATAAAAGCAAAATACCACAAAGTGTTAAGATGAGCTATGGGAAATATGTTACAGATAGGGCTTACAATACCGGGATTCCGTGATCCCGAATACCGGGATCCCGGACAATTTTTGTCCGGTATTCAATACCGGTATTGATAGCAAAAATACCGGTATTTTGGGGTTACCAAAATTTTGTTTGAAATTTAACTTACATAATACACATACACAGTTTTCAAACTTGTCTTTGTCGGTAAGATAAAGCGATTGTTTATATATTATATTCGACCTAATGAATGGAACCCATTTATAAAAATTATTAGTCGACCACATGCATTGTCCTCATATCAAATTCGTTTTCAATGATTTTTAAACAAAATATATAATCAACACGTTATAATTCTCTATATTGTATATCTTCCTATCAATCATTCGTATTTATTTATTATTTTGTTATAACGAAAATTTACAAGTCAAATTATCGAGTGATATATAGTTGTTATATAGCATATGGATATAAATATACTATACTAACACTTGCAAGTACTAATTCATATCAACATGTACTCGGATTATTTCTTTATGACAATTGTGCCGACAAGTGTATAATGAAAAAAGGGTTTTCTCGCTTGAAGATTAAACAATTGATTGTTTATATTTTTTAAAAACATTTTTCAATAAGCAATACATGATAATTAATAATAAGTTATTAATTGAATTTGTTATCATACAAGTTAATATATAATTGTTTACTTGCACGTTTTTTTGTATTTATCTACTCCTATTCTCTATGTAATAAAATACCGGTATTACAAATTTCAAATACCGAATACCGGTATTCAGATTTTAGTACGGTATTGGAAGCCCTAGTTACAGACAATTGGCAATTTTTAGTGCAGCAACCTAATTATGACAAAACATACTATAAATTTTTTATACATAAACTAAAAAAATATTGAGGGGACGTAAATTGTATTCATTTCTAAATTTTGTAATTTATTTAATGAATTACACTTACGGTACTATTCCAATCATTGAAATTGACATTTAAAGTTGCATTAAATCTCATGACATGATACTGTTTCCTTGCATTTTTAGGTACTCGAATTTTGTATTCTTGCACAGAAGTATTTCCAGACGAATTCTGAGATCCCTAAAATATAATTAAAAAATACATATAGTTAAAATCATATAATACATTTATTAAATATTTACTTACTCCGGCACCTGACATTTTTTACTTGGCGAAGTAAAATATTGGTAACGTGTATTAAATTAAAATATTATTTATTATTTTTCAATATACTTGTTCGAAAATAACGCAATACTATAATAGTTTATTGCCAAGTTTCATTAAGTGACAGCGCGAAACGAAATGTGCATATGCGCACCGAAGATAAAACAGGTTCTAAACATATGAAGTGCGGTTAGGTGCGATGGCGCATCAACGCATACGAAAAAACGGTGTCAAAACGGAAAACTACAAACTATAACGACTTTTTCGACTCGACGTTGGTCACAGCTAAGTGAAATACGAATATGTAGCACGTGGTATCACGCTAGAGCGTAAAGCGAAACAGCGCTAAACGAGGCTATCTTAACATGTAAACTAGTGGGGCGAATGGCATCTAGCCTTAAGGCAAATTGCTGAAACTTCCCGTACCAAATATTATTGCTTTTTTAAAAACGATTTACATTTTTGAAAAAAATTGACTTCGAAAAAATAAAGTTTTCTTTATTTTGACATATTTTGGTAATTCTGAACTTTTTTTCAAAGCAATCGCACTGCTTTAACTGCATAGAGACAAAATGTCAAAGCACGTAAGCGCCGCGTCGCCGTCTAACGAATAAACATTGGTACGGAACCCATAGGAATGCAAACAAAATTTATACTTATTGTTAAAATCTCTATAAAATATCTGATAATTTGATGTGCATATGTCTAATGATCATTTTTGGCCGCCAAATGGCATTTTCTTTTACTTTTTTTATTAGATCTCCGAAACCGCTAGACCTGCTTTTATGAAAATCACTTCTTCATCTTGTCAATACAAGTAAAATGTTTTTTGAATTATTAAAATCGGACGTTCCGTTCTCTTAAAAACTGAGTTACCGATTTTGGCACTTTTGCCCCGTATCTTCGGAACGGCTAGATCGGCCTTCGCCAAAAACTAATCAGCACGTCTCCTGATCAATATGAATCGAATGTGTTTTGAATTATTTAAATAGCTTCATCCGTGTTCTCGAAATCGTCGACAAAAATTTGTATCCGTACACACACACACACACACACATACATACATACATACATACACACACACACACACACACACACACACACAAACATCAATCTTTTCTAAGGTATGCCAAAAAGTTCAGAAGGTTTTGAAACGTAAAGATATATAAAAAATTTCATTTTTTATTTTTTTGCGATTACTATAACTTGCCCTACGGGAAGTTAAATATATCAACCTTTATCTGTTTATCTACTAGAACGAAACATAAACAAACACGCGTCAACAAATCGGATGAGTCGTTCTTTCAAAAGTGCTATCCTTAACACTTTTTGCTCCGTATCTCCTAAACCGCCTGGCCTGCATCGCAAAAATGTAATCAATTATTCATCCAATTGACACGAATTAAAAATCGGTTTTCTTATTATTTGTCTCGGTTTGGTTCCGGTAGGAAAAAAACGTTTCGCATCAAAAATTCTAAAAAAAATCAGCAATTTTTACAACAATCGTTATCAGAAATCCCAAAACACATACGAAGGACATGTAAAAAGTAAGGTTCCCAACGTTGCACACCCGCGTGAGATATTAGGAGAAATCCGGCAGCACCATTCTCATTGTTGATCCTTTCCACTCCATTCCAACTACCTGGAAGATCACTGCAAAGCTTAGTGCCAGTCTAACAGCCAGTGCTGGATTTACAGTAGGGGCAGTCGGGGCTACTGCCCAGGGCGGCAAATTTTCGGGGGCGGCAAAATTTGGATAGTGAGAAGAAAATTATAATTAACTCACTTTTTTAATAACATTTTTAATTTCAAGAAATATAATTAACAAAACATTATGCAAATGCAATGCAAAATTTGGCAATTTGGCTAATATAAAGATTCGTAAGTGAGTTGAAACTTTAAGAAAAATATGTTCTTCAGATCTCGAGACCTCTTAAGATGACGAATTTGTGCACTTCCAAGCTCATAGCGCCGAAAAAAATTAATTATGTGTCTTACGGCAAGTTACTGAAACTTTCCGTACTGAAAATTACATTTTATAAAAAGCTTTAAAATTTTTTGAAAAATGATAAAAATTGAATTCAAAGAAAATTTTTTTTATATGTCGAAATTTTTTGAAAATTATTAAGTTTCATCTATTAAACTTATTAAAATTAAATTTTATTTGAATAATTCGATTTCTATTGATAGCGAGACGTGCTGATTAGTTATTGGCCAAGACAGGTCCAACTGTTTCGGAAATACTGGCCAAAATGCCAAAAATAATAATACCGATTACTATGGCAAATACTTTTTCTTAGGACTAATCTCAGTACAAGAAAGCAAGCAAATTATTAAACTAACTTTTGAATAAGTTTCAATTTAAATAATTGGGATACTGATATTGTTATGGTATCGAACCAATATTTTATGACAAAATATTGCAAAATCAATAATATTATCATATTATTATGGATTATAATGTTATGTCCAATTACAATATTCCTATTACTAATAGTAACATATGTTACAAGTACTAAAAATCAGGTCAGTTCTATATTAGTAACATAAAAATTCAAAATAAAAAAAAATGATGGAAAAAAATACAATTGAACATAATATTATGATCCATAATAATATGATAATATTATTATCCAAACCATACACTTGTTCAAAACGTAATATAGACGTTCTTAAAATTGGACATTTTCAGATTGAAAAACAAAGATTATTTTAAAAGTTTTATTATATTGAATATTTGGACATTTAACATCAGCGTATTTTACATTTTTCATTACACATTTATATATTAATTAAATATAATTAATAAAATAATTAAATTGATAATCATTATACTTATAGCTAAGATGCAACTATTTTCCACACCACCCAGGAGGTATAGTTGCCAGGCGCGCTTTTTTTAATGTGGTGTCGCCGTACAAATTGAGTACAGCCCTAGTCCACTTACAAAATAACTTAAATTAATTAACTAAACCTAATTTAAGCCTAACTTAAATGACCCAAATGTAACATGAAAAATACCCCGCGAGATGATTAAATGTATATGAAGATCTTCTTTAGGAAAAAACCGTAGACGATGCAAGAACCTGCTAGAAATTAAAGGTAAAATTGTAATGTACTTTTGTAATTAAAGGTAATTTTGTAATGAAGAGAAAAAAAAGAAAAAAAAAAGAAAAAAAAAAGTATTTACATGATGTACCCCCCTAAGATCCACCATGTAAATACTTTAACTTCATAGGTTCCCAGCACTATGAAGCTTATAGAGGAGTGCATTTATAAAGGTCATAAAATTGTGTATTAAGTATTGTTATATGAATTAATTTTAAATAATTGTGAAAAAACGCGAAATCTATGCAAACTGGAAGGTCCTTGCCGTCTTCCCCACCCATTTTTAAAATAAAAAATAGTAAACTACCAGCCTAATGTATTCTAACCTAATTTTAACTTAATAATATATCCATGTGTACGTCCTCCAATTTTGTAGTCAATTTTCTGGTTGGTTCTAATCTTGTATGTATCTTCATCTCGTATGGATCTTGATGTTGATGTTTCACTGTATGTATCTTGATCTTGAATTATATCTTGATCTTGATTTGTAAATATTAAGGTTTTGCACTGTATATATCACGATATATCATTGTACACAACACTGTCTGGCACTGTATTTAACACGATTTTGCCCAAAATATATCTTATTTATAATATGTATATAAATCCGTCCACGAATCAAATATAAAGAATGAAAACGTAAATGGGGCCCCGATAAAATAATAATATAGTATATAATATAATAATAATATAGAAAATGATCGCAAAAAAACTAATATCTTATGATCTATCGTCGCATGCAAGTAAGATACATATCTTAATATAACAAAATAATATAGAAAATGATCGCAAAAAACTAATATCTTATGATCTATCTTAGCAAGTAAGATACTTATCAACATAACGTTCTCCTGGTCGTGTGCTCCTGGTGGTGGTAAAGTGGTCCATCCTACTTAGCAAAGTGATCTATCTTAGTAAGTAACAAACTTATCTGAATATAACAAACGTTCTTCTGGTCTTGTGCGCTCCTGGTTGCAAAGTGGTCCATTCTATCCTTGTACACTGGTAATCACTAACGTCCTGGTAAACATTCTTCCGTTTTAGTAATAGTGTTTTAGGATCTATTCCTCTGGTAACTTCTGTGTTCAACCTAAAATTAAAATTTTATTTAATTCTATCAATATTAAAAAGATTTGTACATAGCTCAGAGTTTCTTACCATGTCCTGAAAATTGCCAAGTTCAACCACTTATAAATTCAGCATCTTCCACCAGGAGACTCATTGTGCGACCAGTAAAAGTAAAGTTAATTCTTGAAATTGTGTTCATTACATTACGACACGAAAAGTAATCAAAGTAAGTTGAAAACATTATAATAGAATTTTATAAATCTAAAAAAAAATTATTTTTTTCCATGGGCCACTTAGCGAAATAATTAAAAAAATAAATTTAATAATAATTGCAAACAAATAATATTAATTGTTAAATTATGTGCATGGGGTTGCGGTGCTTCTGGGAAAACAACGCAGGGGTCCATACACTCAGAGATACAAAACAAAAATTATTCAATTAATAAATTAAATTTATATGTGAAACCCGACTACTTGGACCTGCCGTGGGGGGTAGGCGGCAGGAACGTAGCTTCAAACGCGCAATTTTCATCATAATACGATTCGTTCGTTTTTCGAAAATTAAAAAAAAAAAAAAAAGTGTGGACCATGTACTCGAAATAACGCAAAATGGTAAATAAAAAATTACTTTTAACACTATATCAAATAAACTAAGTTACAATTAATATTAAAAAAGTTTAATGCACAATAAGCCTCCGAAGTTATTATTCACTGCACATAACACTATTGGCACTGTATAAAATCTGAAAAAAAACGAACTACATTAAAAATTAATTAAACAACTACATTAAATAATTATAAAAAGTCAATTGCAAATAATTCCAACATAAGTTCAGATATAAATTTTAATGTTGTAATAGTTTTCTAATTCTAATCTTTTTTTCATTATTATTGACTTTGTAGTCAAATATATCAGCCATTTTCAATTAAAATTATTTTGTACAATTATTATACAATACTCATAGTTTAATGTTATAAAATTTAATAAAATTTATACAGGTATTTATTAAAATTATACATATATATGTATAATTTTATTAAATACCTTTCAAATTAAATTTAATTATTAAATAATTATTACATTTATTTGAATATACATTTTAATTTAAATATTGAATTATTAAATGGAAAATAGAAATAAGAACATATGCAGTATATATTTCATATGTTCTTATTTCTATTTTTCATTCAATAATTCAATATTTAAATTAAAATGTATATTCAAATAAAATATAAAAAATTGAATTTTATATCATAAAATCATACCTAAATTCTACAGTTAGAATTATTTATATTGTTTAAAATTTTGTATATTGTATAAAATATATACAATATACATTAGATACATATGTACATACATATATCTGTATATATGTACTTGCGCTTTGATTTGATTTATTTTTATTGAATTATAATTAAAAAAAGTTTGAAAATCATTTTTTATTTATATTACTGGATTTACATTATTTTCAATATTTTAATATAATTTTGGCCAAAGAGTTATTTCAAAACCATTACAGAAACTCTTCGGCAAAAATTATTTTGAAATAGAAAAAATAACATAAATCAATTTATATAAATAATGAACGGTTTCCATTTTTTTATTTATAATTCATTAAACAAAATTAAATAAATCAAAACGCAAGCAAACACCATGCATAAATCATATATTCAAGAAACTGAATATATGATTTTTTTTAGAAATTACTTGAAAACAGTTTTAGAATAATATTAGTTATTATAAATGACTTACCTTTCACTGTAGTAACTCCACGAGGTCTCAACACAAAAAGACTTAACATTGTTTCTGTGCCAGCTTTTATGGGGGCAAAAAGGCGCCAAAACAATATAAATCGTTACTCGTCATACTCGTTATGTCGTTATGTTTATGTCGTTACCTACATATATTCAAATTCAAATCTTATATTTCTGTCATAGATCGTTATCAATGATAAAATCATTTATCTTTGGTTGTTATCTTATCAATAAATAGTTTTTGGTATTAGGCAATTGATAGCGCTAGTGTTGGCAAAATCACAGAAAACCTGTCATTGTTTATATACATTTGGATTTTTGAAGAAAATAAACAAATAAATTCAGTCTTAAAAGATTTTGAATATCTTTTGGAAAGATTATAGTGATTATATGGATACATATACCTAATTTTAATTAAGTCATAATTTAGTACACTAATATAAAGTGAACCTCTGGGTTTTCCTTTTGAAATTAATTGTCATTTGTCAAATTAATTATTAAATTAATTAATATGTAGACAGATTGTAATTTATAAGAAAATAAAAAAATAAAAAATGACTACATGAAAAATTTGTGTACTTGGTATGAAATTATATATACTAAAGATAAAATTAAATTTTAAAATCAAAATATATTTTCAATTTATTCAAGAGTTCTATTATACATGTATAATGCAGTGCAGTGCAATTTATTCAAGTGTTCTAAAATACATGTATATACAGTGCTGGATTTACAGTAGGGGGAGTCGGGACTACTGCCCAGGGCTACAAATTTTCGGGGGCAGCAAAATTTGGATAGTGAAAAAAAATTCTATACCATATAATTAAATAATTTTTTTAATAACATTTTTAATTTCAAGAAATATAATTAACAAAACATTATACAAATGCATTGCAAAATTTGGCAATTTGGCTAATATAAAGATGTTCTTCAGATCTCGAGCCCTCTTAAGATGACGAATTTGTGCACTTCCAAGCTCATAGCGATGAAAAAAAACTAAATTAGTGACGCACGTTCGAAATTTTTTGAAAATTATTAAGTTTCATTTATTAAGCTTATTAAAATTGAATTTTATTTGAATAATTCGATTTCTATTGATAGCGAAACGTGCTGATTAGTTATTGGCCAAGACAGGTCCAACTGTTTCGGAAATATGGGCCAAAATGCCAAAAATAATAATTCATTTTTTGAGAAACGGAACGTCCAATATCATTAAAAGAAATTTACATATATAGACAAAATGGAGAACTGATTAAGTTTGTGAAAGGCAGGTCTAGCGGTTTCGGTAACCCAATAAAAAAAATTGAAAGAGAAACATTTGGCGGTCAAAAATGATCATTAACCATATGCACATAAAATTATCAGATATTTTAATAATTTAAATTTTGTTTACATTTCTATGAGTTCTGCAAAATTATTTATCTGTTATTCTGCGAGGCGCCGCTTACTTACTTACGCAGGCCGATCGCTTTAATTTTTTTTTTAAATTTTAATTTTTGGTACTGAAAGTTTCAGCAATTTATCTTAAGGCACGATGCCAAGCATCACTATTTACACTATGTAATGCGTAATAATTTTTTTGCAATCAAATAGTTATTTTAATTTTAGAAAAATGATATATATAAACTATTTTAAGTAAAAAATTTAGGGATGGGGCGGCATTTTTGTCAATGCCCCAGGGCGCAAAATTTCTAAATGCGGCCCTGCTAACAGCCATCTGCGATGGAGCGCACAATCGCCGTCACCGCCAAGTGTGAAATCCGTTCTTGGTAGTAGTAGCTTACACCTATTGAAATTCATAGACAGTTGGAAGAAGTTTATGGCAAAACTTGCATCAGCGTCCAGCACGTCCTCAAATGGTGCAGGGAGTTCTCCGAAGAACGCACAGACGTTCACGACAAGCAAAGGAGCGAGAGGCCATCGTGTTTTGGGACCAAAAAGGAGTCTTGCTAACCGAGTTTATGCCTAAATGGTCCACTATAAATTCGGACAGGTGCTGCGAGACGCTAACGAAACTCAAAAGAGCCATCCAAAATCGCCGGAGAAGAAGACTGAGCAAGGGCGTGGCGGCGGAATTCTTCGAAGCTGGTTTTCAGAAGTGGATAACTTTTTAGAAAGAAATGCGTCAAAATATCTGGCGACTATGTAGAAAAATAGTTTGAAATATAAGCTTTCCCATGGTATACATATTTATCGCAATAAAAAATGCCTCAACCCTGAAAAAAATGTGGGAACCTTATTTTTTACATGTCCCTCATATATACATCACATATATAAATATATGCTTTGGGTCTTTGGTGAATGTGCAGAAAATCGACTATGCAGATATTCAATTCATTACTATCCCACACAGCACAAGCGCGAGTCAGTCTCGAATTGGGGTTCTACCAATCCACCTGATAACGCCTCACTCCCAACCCCGGTCTAATTATATGTTTTATTATTTTCATACAGGATAGCAGCAGTAAACCCTAATCCTTTATTACTCTATTACAAATTAAAATAATCCACATTATTGTCATGCATCCTGTCCTTAAATATATCATCCTACAATTAATTTATATTTCCAAGAAACTCGGATCACCTATACCCGGTATAATTCTACGTTCCACGCAATCACCGGTAAATACCTGATTGGTTGATAAATGCAATAGCCACTGATTGGATCCAAAATTGTAATGGGATGTCGCTTAATTGCACAAAATGAGCCAACCAGAAAAATAATATAAAATTATCAAATCTTTGTAATCAGTCTTAAATCAACACTCAAATCAGTAATATCTCAAACTTCAACTAAGCAACAAGTCTAAATTCAGTATTCAAACAAGTAATAACTTAACCTTACATCAACATATTAGTTTAACTAAATAAACAATAATTAAAACTACTTAACATCTTTCTAATTTAATTGGTCTGATATAGCAGTTATCTAAATATATCTGGTTCTTCGAAAATATAAACAAAGTGTAATTTTTTAATAGAGTTCGGCAGCATCTCGGTGGTTCACGAACTTCTATGCATCTTTTTAATCTATCTTGTCACAATACAATTGTCGCACCAAAATGAACCTAATGTACGTTACCAGTTGCGATATTGGTCGCCCTAATTGGTATATTATAGGTCGAACATAGTTCGATCAGAGGTCAACCTTTGGCATATATGTTAATAGATGAGATTTTAAATTCAAAATCATATGCCGAATTAAAAAATAAATATAGGGTATATATTTATTGAGAATAAAATCACCAGATATATGATTGTTCTATTATATTTATACAGGGGCCTAATAATCTATACTGTCATTTATTTTCATTTAGCAGCATCAAACAAATTTTGTTCTGCAGTTTCTTCCTCTTCTTCTTGTTCTTCCTGTTTTTTTGTTTTTACTGGTCTCCAGTCACTAAACAGGTAAGTCTTTAACTTAGCAGTTTGCGGATTTGGAACTGAAAAAAATATTAAAAGAAAGACTAATTAAAGATTATTTATTCGATTCATATTTCAATTCAAAATATTATAGTAACTAACCACAAAACGGAACTTGATCAGATGTAATTACGAAGAAGTTTCCCCTTGCAGGATTCAGTACAGCCTTCATCCCCATTTCAGTACATGTTTGCTCAGTGCAAGGTTGTTCCAAGACATGCTTAGCACTGAGTAAAAATACATATTGAAAACATAAACATAAAATTGACAAAGAACAAAAGCCAACACCAAATATTTTATCTGATTCAATTTTTCTCACCCATAATAAGTCATATTCCACTTATGTCCGATGAACGTACAATTCTTACTTTGCAAACTTTCAGTAAAATACATGTATGCACGACCGTGACTACAAATGGCCCTTTCCAGTTCTAATTTTTTTACATATTAAGAAATATTTGATTTACAGAAAATGAAATGTTAAACAGTAAAATTTATACTCACTAGCTCTAGAAATTGGAAGCATCTTTGATAGAAATGTTTTTTTACCAAAAAAACATCCTGGTTGTTTCATCCCGCCATTTGGATAGAAATCGGCATGACCTATATTATTTGATATAGTATAATTTCCAACAACTAAATAATAATGAAAGATTTAGTATGTATACCGCAGGGTTCTGGTAAACCGAGTCCAATTCTCGTTTGTAGTCTTCCATTAGTGTGAATAACGTCAACAAAATCAGCATCAGTCTCATCTAAGAGCACATCTAAATCCGTAGTACGAAAGCATGGTTGAGCAGGATCTAGGCCTATATTTTGCATTATATATACATTATCTTTTTTAGAAATTTATTATGTTTAATTTATCATTTATAATTATTTCTACGTTGTAGAGATGTTTTTATATATCTTTTATTTTATCACCTTTTATATATTTTTCAATTACTTTCAATTTACAAATAATTGCAAAGTATACATATCTATATTGAAACAAGTTACAGTTTATAAGGAAGATGACCAAATTCATCTTAATGAATTACAAAGCTCCAATAATATCCAAATTAATAATACAAATAGAAACATAGATTTTTGTAACTGTTTTAAGTCTAGTTTTTTATGTTCCCAAAAAATTAAGGTCAGTGCAGATATATATTAAAATTACTAACTCATTTCAAAATTAAATTTATTGAAATACATACCTGTAATTCGCGCAACGCCCCCAAGTTGAGAAGCGATATAAGAACAAATATGAGCTCCTAAACTATGACCAATCAAATGAAATTTCTTGGTCGATACATTGGTAGCTGCTATCAATTGGCGCATGAAACTAAAGTGAAAGGATTCGCAGCGCATATAGATAATCATAAATCCTATTGGAAATAACTTGCCATTAATTGACTAACGGAATACCTGGTAACATCAGCACCCACTCTCCTTGTGTTAGCAACAGCTCGCCAATATTTCCAGCTGTTTCCTCCAGCACTCCAATCCACTACCAAAACATTGACATCTTCCTAATAGATAAAATTTTAACAAAAATCTCAATTTTAAAAATAATTGGATAGATATAATTTGGAATAAAATTATTCGGAATACTGTTTATTGTTACAATTGGAAGATAACTTACCCAATCTAATAAAGCTTGGGTCATTTCAAGAACCCAGGACGCCGCACCATGGCTCAAAAATCCATGCACAATTAAAATAGTTTTGATGCGATTGGGATCATAATCCGTCCATTCCAAACCAAACTGATCGCCCATGTGCATTTGCATACGAGTTGTTTGTTTCCTGTCATTTATAAAACAATTAATTTAATAGTAATTATAAAGATTTAGCATTAACTAATTAAATAGAAAACGTTATGTGAAATTTCAAATATTTAATAAGACAGTCCATTTTTGAATCAGAGTATTAGGACGAAACGGATGGAAGTACCTATTTTGGAATATATCGGCACCACGCCATCATAAATAACAACACGTTTATTCAAATTACTAAACTCTGATAATATTAAAAAATACATCCGGGCTGCCAAAAATCACTAAAAATATACTTGTTATCAATGTAATTTCAGACTTATATAATTCGCATTTAAGATAATTTACTAACAATAATGTTTTACTAACAAAACGTTTAATAATTATTATTCTTAATATATATTGTCATAGACAATCAATTTATATTAGGTTGTCAAATACCGCTTTTTTGCTCTTGGTTTATAATACAAAAAGGCGGAAGGGAGATATTTGACAACCTAATATATTATCAGTGATTTACTAAAATTTAATATTATAGTTAAAAACATATCACTTTCATAGTGAAAACATATCATAGTTACAGTATTATAACGTAATTTTTAAGAATATTTAATAAATATCTTCGTTACATTTCTAAGCAACTTAAGCTTAATTACTGAAATTCTAAACATTTTTTGTATACATTATTACTAAATAGTACATATACGTTATGCAATTTTATGCTCAAACATACCAATTTTCGAGGTTTGATTTTCAAAGATAGAAAATCAAATTTTTTAGCGAAAACAAACTTCTTCGAAAAGTAATAAAATTCAAACGTTATTTACAATCATTTACTTTGACAATTGCAATGTAGAGTCGATTACATAATAAATGTATTTCAAAAAAAATATTGTAAAATTTACCATGGCGCGAATAGATATATATGATTCATATGCTCAGTTGAAACACGACCCCTATTCTTATTAGCATGATTAAAGTATTTGTAAAACTGAATTGTAAACATAAAACCAACAAAATGCCTTCATTGTCAACCCAAGCAAAATGTTTTTTGAATGATTTAAATCGGATGCTTTGTCTCTCAAAAACTACAATTTGTGCACATTTAGCTCCGTATCTCCGAAAAGGCTGTACCTGTCTTTGTCAAAAACTAATCAGCACGTCTTCTCATCACTACAAATTGAATGTTTTTTTAATTATCCAAATAGGATCCTCTGATCTTTCAAAAACTTAATTTTCATTTTCTGCACTCTTTGCTTCGTATCTCCAAAATGGCTGGACCAAAAAACTACCAGCAGTAATCCCCATAAGTAGGAATAAAATACTTTTTGAATCATTCAAATCGGTTGAGCGGTGCTCCCAAAAACGTCGACGAAAAATTGTATCTACACATACACACGCACATCCAGTTTTTCTAGGGTATGCACGAGATGCTCAGAAACATTTAAAACGTAAAGACATGTAAAAATTTTCATTTTCGATTTTTGGACAATTACAATACAGGATGTTGAAAATATAACAATCGTTTGAAATTGATAGCGTGCAATTTTAGTGCCTAGTTAAACATCATAACATCAAAATCTACTAATATCAAATTTATCAAATCTACTAATATCAAAAAACCGCATGTCTCTATGATAAATACATTTCGAGGAAAACAAAAACAAATACCTGGCATTTTTTGTAAAAAAAAGAACAACCTCCTTAAAATTGTTCTAAAATATTTTTAATAAAAAATGTAATATTTAAATCTTACGTTTCATTCTAACATTTGAAATTTAATTTAACAATTGTTAATCATATTCCTTTTCTAAAAATTGTGTTTTCACTATAATTAAAACGTATAAAATATTTTACCTGGTACTCAAATAAAACTTGACATCGACTTCTTCAGAACTTTGTGGACTCAAATTGAACAACCATCGTAGGCGCGTCGCTAACCAGCCAAGACCAAAACAGTCGACTTCTAAAAATTAATTCATGAGTAAAATATCAAAGAAAATTGAAAATTAACCATCACCTGTAGGAACCACTGTATCATTGTAAAACCTAGTGTAATTTCGGCTCCGAGTTTTACTTTTTTTAATAAAAGTTCTAGGCGTGGTTGAGTACTTCGAACTGCTGCTCTGTGTCGTTTGTGCTGTAGATGGATTTGTAGATATTTCTGGATTTGTTGTCATTAAGGAATCGAACATTTCAATATCTTCTTGACATAAAAAATTCTCCACATCTGAATTGTTGAGATAACAAAACTTTAATATTTTATAATTGCATTATTTACTTTCTCTTTGATATAAATAAATATACCTTAAGTTTATCACAATATTCTTTATTGCCTTGATGTATCATATCTTAGTTATACTACAGTTGAACATTTTAATTAAATGCTCTCTATAATTAGTATTTTACTTCTTAGTAAATTAGTATGAGTATTTTATTTCTTAATTTTAGTTAGCATTTTATAAATATTTTTGAACAAACTTGGCAAATAGGGTAATTTTGCTCAAGTTGTACCACTGCCCAAATCGTATCTCCGCTGTATTTTTCCGTCAAAGTAGAACTAGTAAGCAAAGGTTTACAATTGGAATGCTGGTGAATTTGTGATATGAAAATTAAACTTTTCATAAAGTTTCTACTAATATTTTTGGTTCAATTGTAACCCTACTGTGGAAAAAAAATTACAATATTTTGTCCTTTTTGCAAAAAAATAGAGAAATTGAATATTAAAATCTGAAGATCAAAGTTTTTGATAGGGAACTAGGTACCATACAAATTTACGGTAAAACGGTCACATTCACAAATCTCTCAATTTTTTCCAATCCTATAGTTAGTTTGCTGGGCGTGTCACATAATAATATAATTTAAAAACGAATTATCAGATTTTGCTTTGTAATTCAAATATTACTGATTTGAAGAAAAGCATGGTAATAATATATCACAATCTTGAAACTTTAAATGTGCCATTTCAATTAAAATATAATCAGTTACAGATTAGGTTGGCACTTGCATAGACTATTAAGGGAATTTATATGCGGTGTGCTTTGCAGTGGAAAAACTATTCATATATTTTTTTTGTTAGTTGTCCCTTTTACTTATATACCACATTTGCATTCAGTTATTTTTATACTAATCCTTTTATGCTAGAAATATATTTTATGGCAAAACAATGTTTACCGGGTCAGCTAGTATATATATATATATATATATATATATATAATTAAAAAAGTAAATACAAAATGTACATACCATCAAGATTGCAAACATGTTTAAATCCTTGAACAAACACTAAAAATAAAAAAACAAGTTCGTAACGAAACATTTTTCGATGTACTGAATTACAGAAAACTAAAATTGAAAACACAACTATATTTCGCCGTCATTGCATTGAAATAAGATCTAATTAACAAAAGAACAGTGAGAAAGCACTATAATGAATCATTTGCGCGTTTGGTAATTTTCTGTCGATAATGAACATATAGGTTACTCATTAACAAAAAACAGGAAAGGATTTTAAATTATATTTGATTTTAATAAAATATAAATAGAAAAGGAAAAATATATATCTATTATTTTCAATTGATATATTATCAGTTATGACTGAATCAATAATGGACGAGGAATAATGGACAAGGAAGCACTGAATTACCATAAATAAAGCTTTTTTTAAGCTTCTGATAAGTTTTTTAACTTGATGTCATCAATGTCGTCAATTAACAATCAATTTTGTTTTATATAAAAAAATGTTTTTGACAGAAAAGTCTGATAATGGAAAGTATCTAGTTCAAAGCTTCTAGATTTAACATCTAAAACATTTACTGTTTTTCAATATTTTTAACTTCCCGTAGGGCAAGTTATAGTAATCGCAAAAAAATCGAAAATGAAAATTTTTATATATCTTTACGTTTTAAAGGTTTCTGAACATTTTGGCATACCTTAGAAAAAATGGATGTATGTGTGTGTGTGTGTGTTTTTTTTTTTTTTTGAATATCATCAATTTTTTATTATTCTCGCTTTCAGTATTTTTACATCATCACAAGGTCTATCATTTTTATCACATTCCACAAGTCCTATCCTTTTAACAACATTCATCCCTGAGTACACTCTTCCAAATATAGTATGTTTGCCATCCAACCACTGTGTTGGAGCCAATGTGATAAAAAATTGTGAGCCATTAGTATCAGGACCAGAATTTGCCATAGAAATAATTCCTGCACCGGTGTGTTTAAGTTCTGGATGAATTTCATCTGGAAAAGTTGGGCCATAAATTGATGAACCTCCTCGGCCTGTGTGTGTATGTGTGTGTGTATGAATGTCGTGTGTGTATGTATGTGCGGATACAAATTTTCGTCGACGATTTCGGGAACACGGATCAACCGATTTGAATAATTCAAAGAACATTCGATTCGTATTAATAAGGAGACGTGCTGATTAGTTTTTGGCGAAGGCAGGTCTAGCCGTTCCGAAGATACGGGGCAAATAGTGCCGAAAACAGTAACTCAGTTTTTAAGAGAACGGAGCGTCCGATTTGAATAATTCAAAAAACATTTCACTTGTATTGACAAGATGAAGAATCGATAAAATTTTCATGAAGGTAGGTCTAGCGGTTTCGGAGATATGGAGGAAAAAGTAAAAAAAATGAGCCATTTGGCGGTCAAAAATGATCATTAGACATATGCACATCAAATTATCAGATATTTTATAAAGATTTTAACAATAAGTATACATTTTGTTAACATTCCTATGGGTTCCGTACCAATGCTTATGCGTAAGACAGCAACGCGGCGCTTACGCGCTTTATATTTTGTTCCTATGCAGTTAAAGCAGTACGATTGCTTTGAAAAAAAGTTCAGATCTTCCACACTATTTTTTTTTTTTAAAAAATTTTTTTTCAAAAAAAAGTAATTTTTTGTCCAATTTATAGTTTCTCAAAAATCTTATTTTTTCAAAGTAATTTTTTTTTCAAAAATGTTAATCGTTTTTAAAAAAATAATAATTTTTGGTACGGAAAGTTCCAGCAATTTGCCTTAAGGCACGATGCCTTAATTGCCTTAAGACAGAATTCCACTTACAACTAGTTTGGAATTTATTATTCAGAAAGAAACATCAAACAATACACAAACACACTCATATATATTCTAGAATATATAGTTCTAGAATATATATATATATATATATATATATATATATATATATATATATATGAGAATTTTACTCCACATGTTTCTTTCTGAGTAATAAATTCTAAAAAATATTGAAAAACAGCAAATGTTTTAGATGTTAAATGTAGAAGCTTTGAAACTAGATTCTTTCCATTATCAGACTTTTCTGTCAAAAACATTTTTTTATATCTAGAATCTAGATCCTCCCAAAATTTTGTAATGTAGTTATTTCAAACAGAAACAGTCATATTGCTCCTACTTTTGGTATTTCATTTTTAATCTCTAGCTAACATATTCAAAAACGGTTTTATTTCATAATAAATAAATAACAAAGTTTAGCACAGGAGGGAAGTACAAGCAACACGGGGTTAAAAGTGTTAACACTTTGCCGTCCGCACGTCTTGTAAAAATTTATTCGCTTGGCGCCGGTAGTGCTAATTCGTTATCACTTTGCTTGTCCCCGCCCTTTCTGGATATTATCGAAAAATTACAAATTTTTATGTCTTACTAATGTTGACGGGTGTAACTTTTTGTTATCTAAATTAAAACACCAATAGGATGGAAAGATTTCTGCCACTGGCCAAAGGAAGATACTGTGCTCATGACACCACTGTGGTGTCGCCGGCTGTTGAGAGCTAGTTCGCGCACGACACCACTGTGGTGTCGCCGGACGGCATAGTGTTAAAAAAACTAAAAAAAAGAATATTGCCTCAATATCGACTAACGTTGGCCTGAGCGATTAGTTGACATTATCATAGAACCGACGTTCGCCTTTATTTCTACAATATAGGTAATGACGGCCACAGAAATCCAATGTTGGCAATATATGAAACCGAGACTAATTTCTACATGGGTTACAATATTGACGATACTGAAATTCTAGTTTTCTAACAAATTTCAAAACAAATCTCTATAAATAGATACGGACTTGGACATATATTAAAACAATCGCAGAAAAATCACGTATGTACATTTTTTTTTCCAATGCTCACGCTATTTAAAATAGCCAAGGATGGACGATACTAAAAAAAATACTCACTATTATCTTATTAGTCTTTATTCTTTCAAATTCAAAACATTTTATTTTTCATATTTTATTATTAATAATAATGAAAATTTAATATTCCTAGACTTCTAAAGACGTGGATGTTTTGAAGGTAACCCAACGGTTGACCTATCTCTTTTGTAGTAATGCTATTAGTATTACTAAAATACTTAACTTGGGCACTTATTGCATATATATTTAGTTATTTGAGAAACAATAAAATCCGTAACTGTTAACCTTGAAATAAGACAAAGATAATAATAAATGTGTTATCAATTTCCAGTTTCCCGTTGCGGAAATATCATATACAGCAATTTTGAAAAAAAGTTTGGTAACATTTCTTTTAACATATAATTGTCTACCAAATTGAAACAATTTACAAACTTTTTGAATTAAAAATTACTAAAAAAAAGTACCTAAATTATTATATAAAAATTGCCGTGTGCTGCTGTGCCGCTGTATCCAGAAATGAAACACATAATTGATTCACGATTCGATTCAAAACTACATCCGAAATATTAAAAATAGAAAATGCACGAAACGAAATTTTCACAAAAAAATTATATAACTGTTATTAGAAAAAAAGTTGAAGAACAAATTATAGGTTGATAGGCCCTCAAAAGCAGTATTTGATTGTATATTCGTAATGTATTATACCACGTTTATAGGTTTGATATATCTTGGATCAAATCTTAATTATACATTAAATAACGACCCTTGGCTTACAGAATGATTTCATTCCAAATGAAATTATTGACAAGAAAATTATTGCCTACAAAATTCCGTATACTAATCTAAATAAAAATTCTTATATCTAAATAGGAGTTTTTAGAATGTATCACTTTTGCTTAGACGCGTTACTGATAAGTTATAAAGTTTACTATTTCCTAATTGAATTTTGTAACTTACGTGATTATTTTTTTAAATTACAAAATGAGAAAATCACGTAAAGTTTCCAGTGATGATATTGCTTTTTGGGTTTATCCTAAAGATATGGATTTTAAAATTCCAAGGAAATACAAGTTGAAAAAAAGATATAGGTATGCATCGAAATCACTATATTTATAAAATAAACTGTATCATGAAATATATCACAAAAAAAATCGTTCCATCATACAAAAAATCGTAAAATATAACAAACAGATTTCAATTGAAATAATTCCGTTCATACAGTTAATATCATGTAAATTATATTACAGCGACTTAACGATTGAAAGGATACAAAATTTGAATAAAGGTACTCTTATATAAAAATATACAGTACATAAAATACATTTATTATATTTTTTTTTGTAGGAAATTTTATATCACGACTACGCAGCACCAACTTGCATGAAGCAATTGGACCTAGTAAATAGCTTTCATTCACAAGATTTTATTTAAAATCATAACTAATATTATATTTCTACAGCCCTATTCACAGCTCAACTATTTGGATTAATGCCTATTTCTGGAGTTTTGTCTAAAAATCATCATAATTTAAAATTTCGTTGGTTTGCTTGGAGAACGTTGATAAGTTTAATAGTTTTATTTGGAAGTGGTGTTATGTGTATTTTAGCTACAATCAATTTGGCAAAATTTGGTGTAACTTTTTATAACAATAGTAAGTTATAAAAAGGATTATAATATTGTGGAACTAAAATTGAATAATTGATATTATTTTAGCTACGCTTGTGTTCTCAGTGAGTACGTTTGCATCTATTGTTTTATTTCTAAGATTGGCCTGTCGTTGGCCCAAACTTTTAGGCAAGTTTTTGGAAGCTGACCAAAAAATGGGCCCTGCGTATGGTAATATGCCATTGGGGTTGAGAATGTCACTATTAACGGGTAGCGTACTCATACCCTCTTTAGGTACATGCAAATTCTTTTTTCACGCTATATTTATTACAAGTTATAATTTATACCTACATGAACATTAAAATTGGTGGAATGTCATATCCACTAAATATCGATGTTTAAATTATAAGAGAGATCTTGCTATTTTAATATTATTAATAATTTATAATAATTATTATAAATTATATGCAGTTTTCAGAATATAAGAATATAGATGACATCCATATATGGATTTTAAAGGACTGCTTATTTTTTTAAGTCAAATTATTGACCTGAAACGTCGAAAAAATTTAAAATTAGCAAATCGGATTTTCTGGCGTTAAGAAACTTTTTAAGATGATAAACTAAAAAGCGTTATCAATGTTATGCGTCAACCACATATTTTTTTACTTGAAAAGCATTAAATTACACCTAATTTTAATTTGATAGATTCTTTAATATTCTCACTGTGTTTGTTTATATATTAGTTTAAATTAATATATGTACATTTTAATATTAATAAGTACATTTTAAATTTGATTATCCGTAGTGGAATTTTATTTATCAATAAACAGTAATTATTCCTATGCCAAGAAATGTGCAATTAGTGGTACTATATTAGAAGAATTTTTCAAAGTGAGCTTTCCAGAGGTATATATGTGGAATGGAAATAATATAAAATTAGCAGCAATGTTTCAGGTATTGCAAATTGCCAAAATATCCATTTTAAAATCTAGTAAAATATATTAATTTGATTTTTCAGATATTAAATATAGCAACGACATTCACATGGAATTATACAGATCTATTTATAATTTTGATAACAGCCGCATTAACCCAAAAATTTAAACAACTGAACAAACGTTTAGAACAAGTTAAATATAAGGTATATAAAATACTATTAGCAAAACTCGGATGCCTTTGTTAATATATAAACATATTTTTTTATTTCTAGGAAATGTCTGTACAATTTTGGAGAAATATTCGTGAAGACTATGTCTTGCTGTCAGAGTTAGTAAAAACAGCAAATGAAATTATTGGGCCTATAATACTTATATCATTTTCTAATAATTTATATTTCATATGCTCTCAACTTCTGAAAGGAGTTACGTAAGTTAGATCATGCCCAATAATTTCTTGGAAAATATTAATTTTTTATTTATTATTCCTATCAGACGTTCGAATAGAGACAAAGCTCAAGCTTTTTACTTCTGGTTTTCGTTTATGCTTTTAATGACAAGAACATTTGCGGTATCTTTATTCTCAGCAGAAGTCGCTCATGAAGCAAGAAGACCAGAAGGCGTCATGCGCACGTTGCCATCTACAGGATACTCGCAGGTAAAAAAATAACGTTAACAGTTAATGGCGGAAAGTCGCTATGAAATCACGCGGCACTCAACGTGTTAATGATTAACCGTTGAGGGCCTCGTGGTTTAAAGCAACTTTCCGTTTAGGCCCAGTTTTAGTAAAGTAAATGAAAATACTACAAATAACACGAAATTTGACCTAACAGGTTATAACATTTTGTGAGACTTGCGAGGGCCAAAGATATTTATGTTTAACGTGCTTCAATAAATTTATTAAATTCGGTAAAAATGTTAAATTTTTACTTTTCTTATACTGATAGTATAAAATTTATTTCAAAAATAAAGTTATCGCTTCCAATTAAATCTAAACATTGCAATTTCGAATAGAATTTTCTCAAACACATTTAAATTAACTGTAATTATATTAATTATATGAAACCGACACGTACTTGTATACTCTAAATTTGTAGTTTATTATTTTAAATTTTAATGAATCGACAAAGTTTGATTCATCACATCCTAAAGGCATTAATTTTTAACATTAATCTATTTGTCGTAGGATGGTAACATTTTAGTATGTTTTATAAGACCATGATATCTATTGCCCAAAAAAGTTTCATAAAAATCGGCAATTTGTTTTCCAACAGTTAATTTCAATAAACCTAAAACTAATCAGTATCATTTCCAACCAATATCTTTCGAACAGTTTTGATTTTTTAAAATCGATTCAGAATTAAGAGCTAAAACAAAAACGATTTTTTTTTTTACTTTTCTGCTATTTACAAATAAACGGCTCCACCGATTTTCGCGCTAGTCCTCATCGAGATACATCGAATGGTTTTTAAATTTTTGAAATCGGTCTAGCCGTTTTTGAGAAAACGTCGATTTACGGCACAAAATTTGTTTTTATATTATATATACACACAAATATTTTTTTCAAATTTGCTCTCATTCGATTCAGAATAGCTTGAAATGTCATTAAAATTGATTAATAAGAAGCAAGGGTCGACTCGGCACAGTAATAGCGTCGTCAATAGACGACTTCCGTACACACCTGCGAATCTCGACTATAAGCGATACTCGTACATACAGGTAGTCATAAGCGTTTACTTCCATAAACCCGAAAATAATATTTTAAAACAATTAACTAAAACCGTAAAGCGTAATATATATATATATATATATATATATATATATATATATATATATATATGTGGCGATATCAAGCAGGCTGGTTTTTATTTTGTAAAAAACAATCGGACATGTCATGTATATTTTTGATATCGAAATATTTTTACAGTTAATAAATTTATATTTTTTTATTATGTTGGGAGTTTCTAATTTAATATATTATCATAATCATTACGACTCCCACATTGGTGACCCCGACGTGATAGATGAAGATAAAGGAGTTTTATTTTTCGAAGATTTAAGAAAAATTGATTTTGACGCAGCACCATAATCACTGGTCTTCAGTGACGACCTATAAGGTATGTCCAGTCCAATCCATCATAGTTAACGCACTTACTATCTGGATCAGACTTCCGAGGTTACTCATTTGGTATACCCAGACCTCAGTGTTTATTGCTGACAGAAAAAATAATTTGGAGCCTGAACTTTTAATTGGAATGCAATTCAACCTCTCTTTCTCTGTTAACTCAACAAATCGTCTTATAATGCTACCTCCCATTATCGGTGACAACGACGAATCAAAACAAAATTTGACATAATTTATTGGATTCCACAATTCTGGACTCTTATGTCAAAGAAACCAATGATCCTGATTTGGATAAAGAGCCAACTTCTTTCTCTGATCGGAACTCATCAGATACGAATGCAACGCTTGCAGAAATGGAAACTGTACCCATAAATTATGCATTCTAAACATTAAGTTATTCTGATATAACTAATACCCATTAGATCGAGAACATTATGCAGAATATGGAGTTGATGGCAGGTCAAATCACCACATACGGTGGATCTGCTGACGAAACATGAAAATTTGTAATTGACCAGTATTACAACACTGGTCTGCTATAATCTGCTTTCCCACCACATTTTTATAACGTGTTTCCCTGTATTTTTTTTTAAACTGTGAGATCAACACTGGGCAGGGAGTGTGTGGCGATATCAAGCAGGCTGGTTTTTATTTTGTAAAAAACAATCGGACATGTCATGTATATTTTTGATATCGAAATATTTTTACAGTTAATAAATTTATATTTTTTTATTATGTTGGGAGTTTCTAATTTAATATATTATCATAATCATTACGACTCCCACATATATATATATATATATATATATATATTATATAATATATTATATACATTATGAATTACTTTACAGGATGCGCAAAGATTCTTGGATCATGTGGCTGCTAGAAATGTCCAATTAAGTGGAATGCATTTTTTTTACATATCCAGAAGAATTATGTTAACCGTATGATATATAAGCAAAAATTTAAGAAATCGATTTAAGATCAATTGCATCTTTTTAGATATTTTGAATACATATATTTTTTGTTTCAGGTAGCGGGAACGATAATAACATATGAGCTCGTTCTTATCCAGTTCAATCTCAGCGATCTAAAAAATACTAGAAATTATTGCCATGAATTCAATAGATTTTAAACATTTCGTATAAATTTAATAAAAATTATAGGTATAATGTAAGTATATATATTTTCAGACATTATTAACACAGCTATAAAACTATCAATTAATAACAATTGTTATTAACATATTAATATCACTCAATTTCAATAAATATATCAAATATCAGGTTATTAATATTATTAAATTCAAACTATTTTAGTCGTTTTTTTTTTAAATAATATCATTAGATACAAAATAATATCAAAACACAGCGATTCGAATCTCGTCAGATCTTCTTAAGATCACATATTAAAATATGAGACAAATTCAAAGCCTAACTACATGAATATTTCACATATTCAAATATAAATACAATATACATAATTTTAATTCATTCTCATAGCAAATGAACCAGAATTAAGCGCAATTTGCGTATGACTATAAATTAAGACGAGGGAAGACTAACCCAAACATAAAACTCAGTTGAATACAATATTGCTCATTCAAATGTGATTGCATTTTTATTAAGATCAAATTAAAAAATCTATTTTTGTTGTTGGAAGTTAGGCGTATGCTCCAAATTTAGTTAATTTTGAAACGGAGAGGAGCATTGATTAACCCTAAACACCTTTACAGAAAATTGATGCAAAAATACTCTTAAATATTATGTTTATACTGGTAAGAATTTGTAAATAAATATGGTTTAACATTTTCTATAATTCTTAAGATCTTCATACCGTTTAGATTAGCTCTAGATTATTCTAGGAGGATTAACCTTCTACTAATATCAAAATTTTTGTAGCGATAAAAAAATACTTCATATAAAAATATAATGGGTACAAGATTTATTGTTGAGTTACCGATGTTTTAAAGTGATTTAATAAATAAGAAGGATTTTATGATAATAAATAATAAAATAAATGATATTAAAACAATGAGATTCATATAAATTGGATTACCAAAATAATTTCCGAACCCTTCAATAAATTATTGATTATAAAAGTCTATTACTATTGTTAAAAAAGAGTAAAGTACAGTCAACTTAAATGATGGTTTTTGTCTAAAATAATAGAAATGCAATAGGGCAAGATCTCTAAAACAATACCAAATAAATTTAGAATACGCATCCGAAATGATATCAAACTTGAATTATTGTAAGAAAGCTTATACTTTTTTCAATTGAAAACCACTTATCTTAATCATAGATCTGCTCGTCTTTCAGAGATCTGCAACTGTTTACTGAGTTCTGAAAGATCTGGGTACATAACACTATCATCAATTAGATTGTCATCGTTTTCTGGTGACTTTCCTGATACTTCACTTTCGATAACAGCTTTGCCAGCAGCTTTGGCAGTTTTCTTGGCAAGTTTTTTGGGCTTAAGACCTACATAGGAAATATTTTAAAATAAAGTTAGAGGAATATATTCAAAACAATTGTGTAGCTTATTTCATTATATTGTTAAATTTTTACTAACTACATACTCAATTTTAAATAAAAAAAAATTCATGAGAACCTTAATTAATAATTAATTAATTTATATTGAATCAAAATCATTATGAAATTCAATATTATTCAATATTGCTGAGAATAAGGAGTGAATTTTTTTAAGTCGGAAAAGTGATTTACACGAGTATATATACTATATATATACTATATATATACTATATATTATATAGCAATGAAAGCGCAATGTTAATATTACTTCATAAAGGCATTTATATTTTTGTGATAAAATAAATTGTTTCTTATTACTAATATGTTGATTATACTAAAGTACATTACCTTGAACATTTTCAGAAACAGCAAGTGCATTTCCTACAGTAGATAGAGTTCCCGAGACAACTTCTCCAGCATTATGACCATATCTATTTAAAAAAATAAACAACCCAATTGATTAAAACAACAATATTTATTGGTATTCTTTATTAAAAAACCAGTTACTTTGGATATATCAAAATCAATTTCATATTTGATTATAAAATATATTATTAGTACAAATGTATAAAATTTTATGCAGAGTATAAAAAATATATAGTAAAATCTGTTTTAAACCCTTTTTAGGCATATCACATCAATATATAAAAACACCATGCATTTGCTTAGAGTATAATGCCTGGATATATAATTAAGATTAATAATTTATCCATTAAAATATCACAGAGGTTTTGTCAAAGCTCCAGCAACTTTAGGCCCGTATCTGTTAGAAGCAGTTTATATACAAATTAAAATATTTGTAGTTATTATAGAAAAACGCTTAGAATACAAACATGTTTGCCATTGTACTTACTTATGTTCAACCACTTTTACTGTATTATTTTTGAAGTTTTCGCCTAAAATGGAAGCAGATTGTTCTAAGCCAGAATAAACGGTAGCAAATCCTTCAACTGCTCCAGAAGCCATAGTCAAAATACCACCCATCTAAAAAATGTTGTAAAAAATCATTTCAATGTTACAAAACAAAATTGCGCATAAGAAATAAATAAGAAAGATATTAGCTATGCACAAAATAGCAAAATTTAAAAAATGCAATGCAATAAAACATCATTGCATAACACTATTGGCATTTATTATATTATTTGTCTATGAGTATTGGGATCTATGAATTGAATTTAAAATAAATATATTTTAAAACCAATGGGATAGTATACTGTATGATAATATTATACATATGTGATCAGTTCATTTAATTAAATGAGATTGCAGTAAAATGAATCAAAATTATTTTATAAATTGCACAATTGATCAGCAGGATAACTAATATTTACCAACACATTTAAAATTTTTAAATAAATATATTGTTATTAGTTTTTTGTATTTCATGTAAAATTCAAATTTCAAAATATATCAGGACTATTTTATCTTTAGAAATACTTAAGTTAAAAAAAAAATTAAAATTAATTTATTTATGACAAATAAGTGTTGTTGGCTAGTATTTATCATTTATTGATTTTTAATAATTTTTCATTGCTCTTATGGGATTTAAAATTATTTCTTAAAATAGCATAAGCACTAACCTTGCTCTTCGCATCTTCTTCAGACAAATTAAAACCAGATTGAAGCACTTTAGTACCTTGCTTTTGAATGTGAGGTGCCAAAAATCGTCCTAAGGCAACTGTAGCCAAACTCACTTTATCAGCTTTAAAAAATGATAAAAATGATAAAAATGATGCCATTAAATAATTTATGAACCAAACTAATTTGCTAACAATTATTTACCAACAAATCCAGTTACTTCAACAGCAGCACCAGTAACATTTCTGGCCACATTTATACCAGAAGTTACTTTTTCAGATACAACTTCTTGTTGAGCATCATTAGCTGGACGCATGTTAGAAATAATTTTAGGAGTTACATAATTCATGAGATTACTAGTTTTCTCAGCACCTTTGAGAAGTCCCCAACTCACATATTTTGCACCTAAAATTTGTATTAAAATTATTAGATCTATCAAAATATTTTATTAAATTATTGAGCAAATAACAGGACATGTGACTAAGATATTTTCTGGTAAAACAGTAAATATTAATTTGAAAAAAACATTACCGGTTGTAAGTCCATATACTATTGACTCAGCAGTAGTACATGGTTTCACATCACCAGCAGGAACTTCTTTCTTCACTGACAAAGAATGAGATTCAGCTCCTTGATAGACAATTCCATGTAATATATCTTCCAGAAGTGATAGTAACTGATCATCAAATTTTTCAGGTACAACCAAACCAATGGCATTTCCTAAAATAATATTTATATTTATGTTACTTAGTTATATTTTGAAACTATACATTACAGATTAGTAATTGCATGTTTTTTTATAGTTACCAGGTATAGTTGAAAATAAATCAGGAAAAATAAAAGCTTTAAACTTGGCCCTGTAGCATGGAGATACACCAGGTATCAATGGGTAAACCCATTCACCTGCTTTCATAGAATAAGTATGATCTCGATTATCTGAAAATAATGTAATAGCATCATTAAAAATTCTATTTCAATTATGTCTATTTTATTTGTCAAATCAATATATCGATAAATTGCTGATGAATAGTTATGAAGTAGATTTGGAGAATGCCATTTACATATAATACTTCTTAATTTTAACCATTTTATAAAAATATTTTTTGAATGCTATCAAGCTTGCTTCTTTTAAACTTTTAACATTACCTGTAATTTTCACTACACTCAATTCCGGTTCAATAGTATGAGAGGTTACTGTGCCATCAGCTTTTATTTGAAATATTTTCACATCATTACATTTAAATACTTCTACTGCGGTTGATTCTGATCGCAAAGTTGATGATTTGAGATTTTCTAGAGCCTTTGCTAAATCACTGTAAGTGATAGATCCTTCAGTTCCCTGATAACAAGAAATATTTTAGTTTAGTAACAGAATATTGACTTGGTAAAGCTAATTTTTAAAACATTACTTATTATATAAAATTACAAGGTCTTGATCGTCTTGATAGACAAACGAGTACAAATTAAAAAAAAAATACTATTGCCTGATACTAAAATAATTAATATAAAATTAGCAAAGTAATTTAATAAAGGTGGTTCTACCAATTCTGGTGAAGCGCTCTTCTCCTTTTCGTAAGCAGGTGATTTCATAATTTGAGTAATTCTCTGAAGAACTTCTCCTCTTGTTCCTTTCATCTTCTGCACCATCGCGACAGCTTCTTTGAAGCTATCATCCATAACATTTTCTGGGTATTCCACTGGTATTTTAAGAGCTTGGTCTATGTGATAGATTCCCAATTTGTAATATTTGAGAGCCTAAAAATAGAATTATGATTCAACTTTATATCGGCATTTGAATTTTGAGAGATCGATCCATAAGCTTAACCTTAAACAAATAAATAGTTGTCTTTAATAATATGTACTTTTCTTGATGCATGTAATAAACAATGACAATTCATTTCTTAAAAAATATTAAATATCACCCCAAACTGATATATTTGCCAGATATTATTTAAAAATAGTGTCAAAAAAACATCACATTGTATGGTTATATTTTGATAAATAATTAACGATATTCTTGATTATTATTACTAAGATACCTTAGTAATAACAATCAAGAATATCGAATATTCTATTACATATTACAATTAATTACAATGGAATATTCTATTACATATTCTATTACAATAGATTCAAAAAATATGTTAAATAAACATGCTTATAGTTAATTCTAATATTTGAAATCACCTTGTGAATTATTAGCTAGTAACATCTATGTTACTAGTAATATGATCATATTACTATTATTTTGATCAGAATTATTCTGGTAATATTAATAAATTAAAAAATATAAATATTGATAATGTATTTGCTTAATAATAATTAACATCTAAAAAAATAAATTGAATAGTTACCTCATGTGGTTTTTCATTTTCCTCACAAGTAATTCCTTTTTCAATATCAGTGAAAGCTTTAATATAATATTCCTTTATTTTCTCAGCAGTTTCGTACCAATGTCTTGAAGATGCTTGGTTTCCCATTTTGAAATATTTAATTTAATATCTATATATCAAATAACTTTTATAATAAAATAAAATGATGTAAAGTCAAATTTCTTTTTATAAATACCAATCTTCTGTGCAACACTAATAACAAATTGTGCAATATTCTACGCAATAACTATTTCTGTTGTAATATCAATGTCGAAAGAAAGCATGATATATGTTCAAAGTACAGAACGTTTAAGATTACACAAATAATTATTCAATTACTAATTTAAAATCTTGGATCAAATTATTAATAGACTTTCAACAGGCTTTTAACTAAAATAACAAATCAAAGTGTAATGTGATTGCAAAACTGTCAATGACTAATGTCACGTGTGTCACAAACGTCAAACATGAAACATAACATAACCTCACTTTTATATTTACTTTTTACAAAATTAATCGTACTAAATTAATTTTTATAAAACTTTCGTGTCAAAAAGTTTATTTGTAATTTATACATTTAATAAATTAATTATAATTTAAAATGTCACATTAAAATACAATGTACTTTGTTGTGTAATATGTCGCTAAATTGGAATCTAGTCATGTCAAATCTAATATAATTTTTTAAAACAATATTTATAAATTTAATTTAAAATTTTCAATCGATTTAATATAAAAATTGCTTAAAATTTGTGTTATATTGGAATAAAATGAGTAATTTGCGTGCACAGGTAATGAGTTTCGTAACATTTATAAGGAAATACCAAAATAAACACAGATTAACATAAGCTGTATGAAAATTTGTCCTACACTTTCATTTATAATATTTATTTATCTTTCTGAGGCCCACGTTACAAGATAGCCATATTGCCCATATTCTTATTATTAATACATGTGCATTAATAATTTCTTCATTAAATCATGAATTAAACGGTAACACACATAATTTTTGTCCCTACAAATAAAAAACAGGTTGTATTATCTCTGCATATTATTAATTTCTAATAAAAAAGTGTCTTTATATTTATTCGATTTTTTTTTGCAGCTGCATATCCAATTATCTATAAAATGTATTTCATGTAGATTCTCGAAAAACTTCCATTCTGATCAATGAAGTAATAAATTTCTTTTTCTTCCTTTCTTTTAATGTCACTAAGCTATAGTTTCAGAGCTGTTTTTTGTCACTATTTTAAAGTCTTATTTTTATATTTCAAATATATTTTCATGCAATGGTGTATCATATCGTTCACTCTCATCTGTGTTCAGTTTCACTAATTTACCAGCTTTCTCGTTTCTTTTTATTTTCACATGGCCCAACTGCCTTGTATCTTATATTTATATACTATTCATATAGAAAATATAGAAATAAATATAGGTTAAAATGAGGTATATAAAAATTTGTCCTACTACATTTATAATATTTATATGTTGAGGCTCTCATTACAAGATAGCCATATTCCTATTATACATACATACGTATATAACATTTCTTCATAAAATCATAAATTAAACTGTAACATACATATTTGTCAATGTAAGTAAATTAACAGGTTTCTGCATATCAAATTATCTATACAATATATTTCATGTACATGCTCGAAAAACTTTCATGATTGCACTTTATTCTGATCAATGAAGTAATAAATTGTCGATCTTCCTTTTAATGTCACTAAGCTATGGTCTTAGATTTATTTAATTAGCAGTTTTATTGTCACTATTTCAAAGTCTTATTTTTATGTTCTAAATATATTTTTATTCAATGATGTATTATATCTTTCCCTCTTATCTGTGTCCAGTTTTGTTAATTTATCTGCTTTTTTGTTTCCTTTTGTACTCACATGGCCCAACCTCTATGTGTCTTATAATTATATACAATTCATATAGAAAAAAATTGAGTGTTCAATTCACATTAGGTCAAATTACTTTTGTGTTAATATATTGAATGTTTACACATTTATTTTTTAATAATACAATTGAAGAACAAGCTAGACTTTGTCACCGTAAAATGACATGTGTTAATTTAAATTGTGTTATTTTGAAAAGATCAACTGCAATTTGTAACAAAAACAAATAATAAATAAAATTTAAAACTGATTACTGTATATGATTTTCTATTTGTAATTCTAAATATTAATTAATATGTTCAGCAGGTTCTACGGAGTTTCAAGGAACTACACCGGGCAAGGAAATCAGTTTTTGCTGGAGATGATGTAGCTTTGAAAGCTTGTAGAGATAAAATTAATGAAGGATTCTTTAAAAATAAACATGTAACTAATTCCGATTCAATAAATGAACTTTTAGTGTTTGCAAATGCTGTAGCAAAAGAATTACGCCAGACTGTAATACAAGCTAAAGAAGTTAGCCCAGGAAAATATGGTAATATATAACCTGATTTTGTATATGTTAAATTGCTTAGAAAAGTAATTAATTTTTATATATATTTACAGAAGCTAGAATAACAAAAGATACTCAACTACTTGATAATGTAGAATTTAAGCTTATGCCCGATGAAGCTTACAAAGTTTCGCCTAAATCAAAATGCAAGAAAGATTAATATATTGATGTACTGTAAAATGTTAGACTGAAATAAATTAGATTGTATTTAATTTAAAGGAGTTTAATTTTTCAAAATTCTTTAAATTTGTTGATTTGTATAAACGGAAGTGAAATTCCATTAACGTTTTAATTTGAATTTGAATATTTATTTTCTGCAAAAGAATTATGATTATCGGGTATGATTATGTTTAAATTACATATAAAATACTAAATTAAATTCAATATATAATACTAAATTTTTTTATTAGTCGTTAAAATTTCTTCTCAAGTAAATAATTTCCTGAACTTTATGGAAGAACAAGACATATATTTATAAATAATTTTTAATAATTAATGAAAACTCTAATTTTATAAAAATTTGACCCTTATTGACCCTAAAATTTGTTGTTATTTTGGCATTAATTTGTTGGTTTGGTATATATGTGTGTATATATTAATATTTTTGTTGGCTTGGCAGTTACGGCAGTAAAATCAGTTTCAATTACCATTAAAAAAACAGGTTGAATTTTTAAAGCTATTACATTTTCAAATATATAAATACATTTTTTTCAGATATACTAAATTATGTATAATTTTGCTAATTATGAAAAATATGATACATAATGACTTTATCTAAATTATCTTTACTGGCGTTTTTTCGAGGTAGAATCGCTACTAATTTTTATTCAGCGTTAGGTTTTCGAAGTTCGGTCATTTTGGGGTGTTTCATTTTTATTTTTATTTTTTTTTATCTTAGAGACTGAGATAAATGAATTGCCAAACCAAGAATTCTCTAATAAAGAACTGCTTATTGCAAAGAAGATGAAAATAGTGACCTGACCGTTTATAGAAATCTGCGAAAAACAAAAGTTAAGCCACCACAGAACCTGATGGTGGAAGATGTTTTAATGTGCCCCAAAAATTAGCTACAGATATTAATTTCTCTCGTTCTTTACCAAAACCGGCTGAATCGTTTTCAAAAGTTTAAAATCCATTCAGTATATCTCGATGAGATGTAGCGTTTATCAGTTTTGCGCGACGATTGACCAAGCCATTTCTTTGTAATTAGCAAAAAAGTGTCATTTTTTTGTCTACATTTTAGCTCACAATCGTGATTATTAAAAAATTCAAATATTCGAAAAACATTATTTGGGAATCGTGCTGGACGAAGATCGGCCAGACCGTTTCTTCGTAATGAATTGTTAAAAAAATACGAAGAATTCTAGAATGAGCTGCTGATATTAGATTTTCAATAATATGTAATAAAAAAATTGTACAGAACTTTAAACACGTTTTTCTCAAAATAATGTTTTTAAAATCGGTGACCAACATAACTCGAAAACGCTTAAATCAGATTATCCTCAAATTTTAACAGGATTTTCTTGAATATATTTTTTAGTGATAAATTGAGTGACTTTTCCTATCAGATAAATTTTTGGTTTTTATGAACAATTTGAGTTCAAAATTTCGACAAAAAATCGATTTTTTTAGAGAAACCGTTATTTTGCCAAAAATTATTATTTTTTTTATTTCTTTGATTAATTACATACTAGATTTATCATTTCTTTAGTGAAATCTTTTTGGTTTTTCAAATTCAGATAAATTAATTACTGCAGAGATAGAGTGGTCACTGCAAAACGTGTTTTTCGAGAGGTGCTCCCGCAGATTTGCTGTAGCTTTTTTTTAAAAAAATATTTTTACCTATAATTATTTTTAACAAGATATGCCTTTATGTGTATAAATTTTTGTATCAATAGATTTAATAGTTTACACAGAATTTTTTTTTAGAAAAATGACTTTTTTCGGTCGATTAATTGCGTATATAACCCCTTAAAGCAAAATGCCACTTACAATTGGTCTAATGGACTTGAGAGTTGGGTGCTGTTTAATTAGAGGTTGAAATTTGAAGTAAACTATTCGTACACATTCTTGTATGCTATTATATTTATAATATTTGTATGTTACAATTAATTCTGACTACAAATAAATCTGAAATAAAATTAGAAGAGCTAAATTAAAATACGATACATATACACAAATATCGCAATGAAGGCGTTTCTACCAGTAACGTCTGCATCTCTTCCTTCCTGGTATTTTGTTCATAGGTCCGTATGTTGTTCTAGCATCAAGATGCTATATAATATGTGTATGTATGTGAAGGATGTGGAAATGCAATTTCACTTTACGATCAATCAAACTGAAAACCGACTGGATAAGAACGAATTTTCCTAGATTTTCACGAAAAAACCCTCGACATACTTATATACATACATTCTTGCGTAGACAAACCAACACTGGCAGCATAATATACAATACATAACAATGAGCGAATACAAGACTGTTATGTGCAACCTGGGTGTATGTGAAACGTGAACCGGTGTCTGCCGAATTTATGTCATGTTTATGCCGTTGTATACTTTTGAGATATGAGGATTTTTTGGCATTGAGCATTCCACTGGTATCAAAACTTGGCCCAGGAAATAAAGATCCACGTAGACGGTTTTACTGCTTTTGAATAAAGATTTTATGAAAGATACGTTTTTTATATTAAATTAGATATAATTTGAATTTTACTACTCATTGAGGTGGGAAATTCTACTACTTGTACTTGAATATATATATTTCAATAAATGTAAGTACTCGTATGTACATTGCATTTTATAACATGATTTTTTACCCGTAAGTATAGTATCTATCATTGGATATAATAATTAATTCTGAACATAAAAAATAAATTCATATTTGGGTGACAAAGAAGAGAGGAAAGAGAAATTTTCCTCCAAAACAAAAATCACATAGCACATAAATATATTTATAATAATACATAATTATTCAAAAAAGAAAAACAAAATATTAGATTTATTCGCACTGAAGGAAAATCTGTGTCGAGCCAAGTATCATTTGCCGCTATGGGTCGATCAGTATATAGTTTGGCATGGCGTGATTGCCATATCAAATTACGTCCCTCGTAAACTGCCCGAGGCCCGCGATGTTAGTATTAGGATGATTCCCACATTTTAGATAAAAATTTTCAGTGAGCTTCAGTGAAAAATCTCTTCGATGTACATAAGTTTATATAGTCAAGATACCAATAAAGTGTGTAATTACAATAATTGAAGAGACCCTGTGCAATGTTTATTGTAAAAGTTATTAGTTACACTGAACATAGATACTCTTTATATTTCAAAGAACCAGGTATACTTTTATTAACTCCCCATAGGGTAAGTTATAGTAATGGGCCGAAAATCGAAAATGAAAATTTTTGCATATTTTCGCGTTTCAGAGGTTTCTTAACATTTCAACATACCTCAGAAAAAATAGATGTATGTGTTTGTGAGCATGTGTGGAGACAATTTTTCGTCGACGATTTCGGGGGTATGGATGAACCGATTTGAAAAATTCAAAGAGCAATCGATTGCTATTGATAGGGAGATGTGCTGCTTAGTTTTTGGCAAAGGCAGGTCCAGCCGTTACTGAGATACGGAGCAAGGAGTGCAGAATATAGAAACCGAGTTTTTGAGAGTACGAAGTGTCCGATTTGAATGACTTAAAAAATAATTTGTTTGTGTTAGCAAAACAATTGTTTTTTGAAAAAAAAATTATTTCATTTTTTTACAGGAATTTTTTTTATTGTATATCAAAAATAATTCAGATTCTAATTTTAATTTTGGCTAAAGTTCTGAAGCTCACTTATATACTATAAATAAATAATTTTAACTTTGTAATTCAGTTTATATAATTCTTGTAAATATTAAAAAATGTTACAGTATTTATAATGATTTAAAAACATTTAATATTTCTTGATCATTTCGTTACGGTACGGTAAGTTCCAGCAATTTGCCTTAAGGCAAGATGCCATACACCACTAGTTATTATTTAGGCTATATCTAGACCTTTAAAAACTCACTGAAAAATGATTGGTTTATAATGGTATTTATTTGTAAGATGTGTAGTAGTCAAGATAAAGTAACGAATGGTAAATTTCTTAAAACTAGCTTAGTACCTAAAGATGTAAATTATTTTATTGCTGTTGTGTAAAAGAGGTTTGATGTATAATATTTGTGAAGCAGGTGCGAATATTAATAATCATTTATTCAATACTAATTTTTCATTTTTGAAGTAAAACTTTTTTAGGCGCGACTTGGCTGTAAATCTGTAGAAATGCACCGGAAGAGCGTTATGCTCGAGTCGAGTGCCAATGATTCGTCATTCGCTCTCGATGAGATCATTTCTATACGGGTCGATTGTGATTGGTCGTCGTGCCACGTGAGCGTCCTTGATTGTATGCGCACGTCACATACACATCAAATAATTATAGTGAAAATGAAATTGACATTATTTTTCACAAGAATTTGAAATCGATTATTTGTTTTAGAGAAAATGTGACTAAAATGTTGCACTTATTGACACCATTCTCAATTTAATATCTATCAAAATTGTTTCAGCCTTTTAAAATTGAAGTGATGTTAACCATTTCTATGCTGTTGATTTAGATAACAATACATAAAAATTTTCATTGAGAAACTTTAAAGTCTCATAAGTCTTCAAATTGTGTATAAGGTAAGGGGCACAGTTTCTGACCTTTTTAGAGTGACGGTGGTGGTTAAACTATAATAATTAATATAAAACTTAACTTAATAAAGAAAATTATAATTTTATCTATTAGTTATTAGGATTTTTAAAAAAAAGTAATGTGCATAAAAAAATTATTTGAACTAAATTTAGATTTTAAATTGACGTTTTAAAAATTGACATTAAGAGCTCCAGTTTCTGACCCTCAGAATTCTTCGTGTGGCAGTTTCTGACCCTGACCGTAGCCCAATTTCTGACCCTCAAATTTAATCATGATTAGGTTATGAAATGCTTACTAATTTTAAATAAACTGAAATTATTATTAAAATAAATAAATTAAATATTTATTCTAAAAATATACAGTTTGTTAAAATTTAACGTATAAATAGTTCAAGTCTTGTTATAACATATTACACAAACAAAAAAATTAAAATTAATTATTTAAAT